AGCAGGTCCCAGTGCAGGCCATTCAAGTGCACCAGGCCCCACAGCAAGCGTCTCCCTCCCGTGACAGCAGCACAGACCTCACGCAGACCTCCTCCAGCGGGACAGGTATAGCTCACAGCCCTGTCCCTGCCTGCCTCCCCCATGACGCCTAGCAGTAGGTGCCAGCAGTAATCCTTCTGTAGCTAAAGTCAGGGGATTTCTTAAAGTGGATATTGAGGCTTTTGGCTTAATAATTATGGGAAAGTCAGGTGAGGATGACTGGGTTTTGAATCCTGCCCTGCAGTGGGGCCGTGGATTCCAGGAGAAATTTAGGAGCCACCTTCTCATTCAGATGAGGAGCCAGAGGCCTAGAAATAAGAAGTTACTTGCTCAAAGACACATTTGCTTAATTATCAGGAAGGACTTAGCAATTTTCTCTTTGTGCTAAGGTCTTACAGGTTTTGAATAGCTACAGTTACCCTCACGTATCTCCAGACATTTCAGGAATGATCAGATACTCTCAAAATAAGGTTAATATTAAGTTCTCATTATTTATAACCGTATTACTCAAAGTGTGGCCTATGGACTGGGAACACCAGCATTACCTGGGAGCTTGTTGGAAATACAGACTCTTGAGTCTCACCCCAAACTTACTGAATCAGAATCTTTGTTTTAGCAAGATTCCCATGTAATGCACATTAACATTTGAGACATGCTGGTTTGAAAGATGAATTTGTTAGCTGTGCATTGAGAAGGAGGAAGAATGAGAACAAATAAAAATAAGATGTCAGAGCTCCCTAAAAGGGGAGTATCTGAGTTTCCTGAGAGTAGGTCAGTCAGAATCTTTGTTTTTCCCAAGATTTGGGACTTAGAGAATTCAGCAGATAAGACAATTGAATAGTACAATGTGATAGGATACAATTAAAGATTGGTGGTGTTGTGTTCAAGAAAAAATAGACTTCTTTAAGTTGATGATAGAGCAGAGGAATAGTTGTGTCTAGCTTCTGACCTGGGGAATGGCAAGAGGGCTTTGGGGGCCTGGAATTCCTAGGGGGGGAATGGGAGGTAGCAGTAGGGACCAGTGTCGAGCTGACACACGTTTGTGTTTACCAGTGACGCTGCCCGCCACCATCATGACGTCATCTGTGCCCACAACTGTGGGTGGCCACATGATGTACCCTAGCCCGCATACGGTGATGTATGCTCCCACCTCGGGCCTGGCTGATGGCAGCCTCACCGTGCTGAATGCCTTCTCCCAGGCACCATCCACCATGCAGGTGTCCCACAGCCAGGTCCAGGAACCAGGTGAGTAGAGGAGCAGGGCTCAGGAAAGGAGGACCGTTTCCTTCCTTACACACACACACACACACACGCATGCTCGCACATACACACATGCACTGAGGCCTACAAATATTTCTACCCAAATACAGCACAGACTTAGATGCTCACCCACACATTTGGACACCCATGCACCCTTGGATGCTCACACTCACATGCACCCTCAGACACACTGGCATCCTATCCCTTTGGCACTTCCATCTGACACTCCCCCTGTCACTTGGGCATTTGTCACCACTCCTCCAACATCAGGAAGTTTCAACAAACAACTTGAGTATCTCCTGTGGTTTTCCAATGCAGGTGGTGTCCCGCAGGTGTTCCTGACAGCGTCGTCTGGGACAGTGCAGATCCCTGTTTCAGCAGTTCAGCTCCACCAGGTAGGTGGGGATACCTGTCACCCCAGCCCAGATAGCCAATTCTTTGCCTTGACTTCGGGGGACCCTGTTACCAGTTTTATCAAAGCTGAAATCCCTAGCCCAGAAGCCCATCTGCTTTTCTGCGCAGGCCTTGGTTGGCAGGCAGGGAAGACGGGGGAGCCTGAGCTGGCTGGCCAGTCCCTGCCTCTCCTCATACACCCCCTTCCCTCCAGATGGCTGTGATAGGGCAGCAGGCCGGGAGCAGCAGCAACCTCACCGAGCTACAGGTGGTGAACCTGGACACCGCCCACAGCACCAAGAGTGAATGATCCGCCCGCCGCCCTGGACAGATGGCCCGAGGGATGGCACCACTTATTTATTGTTGCCTTTTCACGTTTTCTTTACACACACGTTGACGGGCCGCGGGAGGAAGGCGGGGAGGAGGAGCGGGCAGGCAGCCACAGGACTGAGCCCTCTCACTCCAGCCAAAGAAATGGGCCTGTCTGCCTCCACCCGTCCTCCCTCAGCCTCCCCTTCTTCCTGCCCCACCTCCCATTTCTGTTGCTGGAGGGGCCGTCGTCCTTCCTGGGAACCCCCTCGCCAGCTTGGCTTGATGTTTGCCATGAGTATTAGCTTACCCAATGGGACCGTGCCCCACCTCCCCACACACAGGCCTTCTGTGGGGCTGGGCACTGTGTCCTCCCCTGAGGAAGCAGTTGGGGCCCTCTTGCCAGCCTCCTCGCTGACCCCAGGTGAGCCCTGTGTCTGCCACAGGCTGGGTCAAAAGAGCCCTGCCCTTGCCCCTCAGGGGGCCAGCTGGGGAGACAGGGGCTTCTTCCCTCACACCGCTGCCCTCTGCCCCTTCAGCTCCTGAGTAGCTGGGCCTGTGCACTGGGCAGGTTCCTGGGGCCGCCTGCCCTGCCTTGCCGCTCCCCTTGGACTTCCAGGGGCTCCTGGGTTGGAGGGAACCACCAGCGTTCCCTTCTTCCCCTCGTCTTCCCCCCTCTCCTCCCAGCTGCTTTACTTAAAGTTGATTTTGAACTTTTTATTTGAGGAGACGAAGTGAAAACAAATCTATAAATATATATTTTTAAAATATTTAACTTTTTTTTATGGCGTTTTTCTCATCCCCCTCCCTGCCCAAACTCCCCTTCCCTGGGGAGCCTTTGGGCTCCCCAGAACTGGCTGGGCCCCTGGGGACAGAGCTACCCCACAAGCTTGGAGTCCGCCAGTGTGCAGGGGAGATTCTGGGTTTGCCCAGTCCTGGGTTGTTTCCAGGAGAAAGCGAGGGGGAGGGGCCCTCAGGCCATGCCCCAACGGGGTGGGGAGGGTGACCTACAGCTCTGGGCCTCTTTTTGCCCTTTAGGGCTGTTGCTAGGGAGAGGGAAGAGGGAGACCAAATGTCGGGGTGGGGTGGGAGGGTGTCAGGCAGAGGCAACTGACTTCATTTGTGCCACACGCATGGGCATTGCAGCCTTGTGCTTCCCCAGGCCTGTAGCTGCCTGGGGCTCAAGTTGCAGTGAGCAGGGTGGGGTCTGGGAGTGGGTGAGAGGCAGGAATGGGGGTCAGAAGAAGTGGGAGCAGCTCTTGGGCTGAGTGCAGCCAAAGGGGAGCCAGAAATGGGCAGCTCTCCCAGGGAGTGAGCAGCTACTGTAACTTTTTTAAATTAAGACAAAAAGCCTTGAAGAAAATGACTTTATTTTTCTAAGTGTAACCTCAGTATTTATGTAATTTGTACAGGGGCCATGCCCCACCTCCCTCTTCCCCCTTTGGGGTAGATCTTGAGGGTGGGCAGCATAGGGGGGAGGGTCTTTTACCCTGTGTCAGAGCCTACCTTCACCACCTATATCCAGAAAGGGAGCTTTTTCAGAAACAGGGCAGCAATGGGGTGAAATTTTCTTAACCCCTGCAACTAACTGCCTTCAGTAGGAACAAGCTGGCTTCTGTGATTAGGTGAAGGGGTGGGGGAAGATTTTACGCACAGCCTAGTTATCAAGGGGATGATTTGCCTACGTGTTTGAGAACCCCCTAACCTCTAACCCTCATTGCTGTCTTGCCCCTATTTGGGGTGCCAAGATGGAAGTCACCTTTCTGGACTTTCTCCTGGAGATAGCTGGGGCTTATGGGTGGCTTTCAAGGCTGGGGCATGGCAAATCAGGGGCCAGAGAGCAGGGGAGCTTGGGACTCAGGTCTGTAACTGCCCAGCCCCTTTGCTCTGCTCTTGCTTCACTCCACCACCACTCACTCACTCCCTACTCCCTCACCCAGGGGAGGAGACCTTTGATGAATTCTTCCTCTCCTTCCCACAAAAGACAGACCCAGTGAGTGAATCAGGCAAAGTGCTTATAATGGGTGTTGTGTGAGCGTGGCCTTGGGAGAACATGCGTGTGTCAGGGATGAGTTGAGGTGGCATTTTTATGTGCAGCGATCCTTGGTGTTTCCCTTCCTCCGTGGCTCTGGGGTATGTGTGTGTGTGTGCGCGCGCGCGCCAGTGTGTGTGTGTGTGTGTGTGTGTGTGAGAATGTGAGTGTGTATGTCAGTGGTTTCTACTTCCCCTGGGATGCTGACCCAGGAATAGTGGACATGGTCACAGTCCTATGTACAGAGCTTTCTTTTGTATTAAAAAAAAATACTCTTTCAATAAATGTATCATTTTTGTGCACAGACTGTGGGGTCTTTGGCTCTATTTTTCTACTTAGGGAGGGAGGGGGGTATGACTGCAAGGCAAACTCCTAAAATTGCCGCTCTGAGTAGCAATCCGGGCTGCTTGGTGAGAACAATGCTAAGGTGTGCTTTGGGCTGTTGAATTCTATACGATTTAATTTAAGGAACATTTTTGCGGGGTCGAGGATCTTCTTCTCATGCGTGGATTTGCTAGGTGTTAAGGCCAACGCATAGGAGTAATTTTAACTAATAGGAAAAGTGGCACAACTAATCCAAAGCCTTGCTCAAGGGTTTGGGAAACTCATGGGCACGTGACCTACTGAAAAGTCATAGGACAGCCTTAAGGTGGGAGTGTGGGATACTATGTTTCGTCAGAACGGTCTCTGTGTTGGGAGAGAGAGGATTAGGAGGGCAATCCAGTGAAGAGAAGCGGGGGTTCACGGTTGACTGGATGGTAAGAGCTTCTTTCTGCTGCAGAGAGGAGCAAAGTGACCGCGATCTTGGGCTCCGCCGGTAGCTTGCCCCCACGCCTCTCTTCCCGTGCAGCCGCCTGCGGTAGCACGCATGCTCCATTCACAAGCTGTTCCGCCACGCTCGGCGTGGGCCGCGGTGGGACCCGTAGGTACCCGGCCGTGCGTGCTCTCGCCGTGTGACCCGGAAGGGAGCTCTGAGGAGGCGGGGCCAGGACGGCGGGACCAGCTGCTGGGTCCCAGCGAGGGCTGAGCCGGGCGGTGGGAGGTGAGAGGAGAGTTCTACGCGGACCCGGTCCCTCCCCTTCTCCTGTCCCCTCCCCGGTTCTTTAGCCAGTGTCAGTAGGGCTGACGAAGGGAACCAGATCTAGCTCTCTGAGATTTACTGGGTCTTTTCGGCTTCCTTGGACCGCTCCCCCAGCCATCCTCACCCCGCTCCCCAAACCCGTTCCCTCTGCAGTGCTGGCCTCCTCCACCTCCCCACGGCTCTGCAAGCTTGGGCTTGACCTTGCCATCTGCTGGTCTCATCCCTGCTTCCAGACCTCACCCCTACACCTTAGTTTATTGTTGCTCTTCTAGGCCTACATTACACCCCCCACCTCCTCCTATCCGATTCTTTTTCTTCCCCCTGCTGGTAATCAGTTGCCTTCTGGCGCGTCGCTGGTTACCATCCAGGCCTGCCCCACATCGTAAGTGGGCCCCTGCCTCCATTGAGGTCCACATCCTTATTTCTCCCTCCTCTTCTACTCTTATCTTCTATCCCTGTATGCCAACATGACCCCTGCCCTGCCCACCATGTCTTCATCTGGGTTTACCTTTTCATTCTTATTCTATTTCCTGTTGCCCCTACATTGCTTCATATCACGCGTATCTTTCCTGATCATTCCACTCCCATTTACAATCAGTCTTAACAACTTGCATTTATTTGATGACTCTCCTACCTCCTCCATCTAAGAAGTATGTGCTACATGCTGTTCCAAGTGCTTTATATACATGATCTTATTAAATTCATGAAATAGCTATGAATATTACTATCATCTTGCAGAAGAGAAAACAAGCTCAGAGGTTAAGTAACTTGTTCCAAACTATGCAAACAGTGAGACAAAGAGCCAGAATTCAGAGTCACATTTATCTGACTCTGAAATTTCTGAATATTGCTTCTCTCCTGACCTCATTCCCTACCTTTAACCTCATGATTACCACCTCTATCTTATCTACCTGATTTATAGATCCTTACCATACAGCGTAAGTGCAGGGTGAGAGACCTGGTTGTCTTTCTCATAGTTTTGTCTGGTCCCTAGGCCCCTCCCCCTTTTACAAGACTCAAATACATTTTTCCTGTCCAGTCATTTGCCCCAACATTCCAGCTTTTTGTCATCTCCGTTCTCTACATCTGCCGTGGCCCACCCTTTACATGCACCTTGCAGCTTTACTCTGTTGTTTATACTCCCTGTCCGGCCCCTCTGCTATCCGGCTATCCTACTTTTCCTCACGTGTTCTGACTCCATGCCTCGTGTGCTGCTGCCTTCCTGTCCGCCCATGTTCTTCTTCTAAGTCCTAACCTGTAACTCTCAGCCATGCCGCTATCCTGCCTAAACTGTCTTGCTTAACTGTCACTCTGTTTATTGTTACTTTGCCTATTATTCTTTTCATTCTCTTTTTGTAAACTCTACTTTTCTTTTCTTTTCTTTTTTTTTTTTTTGAGACAGAATCTCGCTCTGTCACCCAGACTGGAGTGCAGTGGTGTGGTCTTGGCTCACTGCAATCTCTGCCTCTCCAGTTCAAACGATTCTCCTGCCTCAGCCTCCTGAGTAGCTGGGACTACAGGAGTGTGCCACTATACTGGGCTAATTTTTGTATTTTTAGTAGAGACAGGGTTTCATTATGTTGGCCAGGCTGGTCTTGAATTCCTGACCTCATGATATACCTGCCTTGACTCCCCAAAGTGCTAGGATCACAGATGTGAGCCACCATGCCCAGCCAACTTCCATTTCTGAAACCCCTTCTTTTCATCCCCTCACTGTGTTCACTCTATTCTCCTTCTGTTATAAATCCCAAAGTATGTTCAGCTATTTATTCCATCCTATTTTTTGCCTTTTCTGTTTGGCCTCCTAAATTCTACCATGCAGCCTACCGATCACCACCCACCTTCTCTGTGTCTCAAGATTCCACCCCCTCTATGTAATTTTTTTCTTTTCTCATACTGCCTTATCTTTCTCCTTGTGTATCCCAGGAGGTCAGGATGGTGGGGGAACGGCATGCTGGGGACCTCATGGTGCCCTTAGGGCCCCGGCTGCAGGCATACCCTGAAGAACTCATTCGGCAGAGGCCTGGGCATGATGGACATCCTGAATACCTGATCCGATGGAGTGTCCTGAAGTGTGGGGAAGCGGGCAAAGTGGGTGTGGAAGAAGGCAAAGCAGAGCACATCCTCATGTGGCTGTCAGCTCCTGAGGTCTACGCCAACTGCCCTGGGCTGTTAGGTGAGCGAGCACTATCTAAGGGACCTCAGCATGAACCAGCTGGGGTTTCAGGAAGCTTTCCTCGAGATCCAGGAGGCCTGGATGAAGTGGCAATGGGAGAGATGGAGGCTGATGTGCAGGCGCTGGTACGCAGGGCTGCCCGGCAGCTGGCAGAAAGTGGGACCCCAAGCCTCACAGCTGCTGTGCTTCACACCATCCATGTGCTCAGTGCCTATGCCAGCATCGGACCCCTTACTGGTGTCTTCAGAGAGACAGGAGCCCTGGACCTGCTCATGCACATGTTGTGCAATCCTGAGCCTCAGATCCGCCGGAGTGCAGGCAAAATGCTGCAGGCTCTGGCAGCCCACGATGCTGGTAAGAGACAGCCAGGGAAGAAGGAAAGCAATGGAGAAAATGGGGCCACAAGGAGGAGTAAGAGCAGAAAGAGATTTCCCAGCTCTGTAAGAACACCTAGTATTTGGTGACTATCAATTTAATGCAAAGGAAATATATAGATTAATAGGCTATTTTAGGTATATGGAGAAGCTAAAATGATAGCCCCTGGCTTATCTGTTCATTCTCAGTGCATTGACAGAGAAGGGAATAAGACATCTGTATTTTTGAAAGTGGATTGAGATTTTTTAGTTGGTTTTGAAATCAGTTTGGTGGATTATAACCAACATTAAAAAAAAAAACACTAAAGTTATCAGTGTGTAGCACTTAGTACGTAAATTTTGTAGCATAAAATATATGTTTCAGTTATATGTATGTATGTTTGTAACAGGTTACCATGTAAAATGTGTTTCTTGCTGTGAGTCTTAGTAACAAAGTTTGAAGGCCTCTGGGGTAAGAGATAAAATCTAAGAAAGGCAGGGAGAAGGTATTGGGGATTGAGGAGAAGATACGGTTTGGGTGTGGATTACAGGGAGCCGGGCCCACGTCCTTCTGTCACTGAGCCAGCAAGATGGCATCGAGCAGCACATGGATTTTGACAGTCGCTATACATTGCTGGAGCTGTTTGCAGAAACCACATCCTCTGAAGAACACTGCATGGCCTTTGAGGGCATTCACCTGCCACAGGTACGCTGCCAGCTGTAGGGAAATGCTGTGTACAAGGCCTAAGGCGTTATTTCTGAAAACGTGGTTCAGGACTATATGTTAGCCCCAGAGCCTCCTGGGAACTTGTTAACATGAAGGTTCATGTCCTCCCTCCCAGCCCCTCTCCATTCATCATTTCTGAGATTAGAACCCAGGAATTTGTGTTTTAAGACGCTCCCTGTGCCTTTCGTACACAAATCCAAGTTTGAGAACTACGGAGTAGGGGAGGCTATTGGGGGGGAAGGGAAGAGGGAAGCCAGGAAGAGATGAACCTGCGCCAAGGATTGTGTCTTACAGATCCCAGGAAAGCTGCTCTTTTCTTTGGTGAAGCGCTACCTTTGTGTCACCTCCCTCCTGGATCAGCTGAATAACAGTCCAGAGCTGGGAGCTGGAGACCAAAGCTCCCCGTGTGCTACAAGAGAGAAAAGCCGGGGACAGCGGGAGCTGGAGTTCAGCATGGCTGTGGGCAACCTCATCTCTGAGCTGGTGCGGAGCATGGGCTGGGCCCGGAACCTCAGTGAACAGGGCACGTCACCTCCTCGGCCATCCAGGTCCATCTTTCAGCCCTACATTTCAGGCCCCAGCCTTCTACTCCCCACCATTGTCACCAGCCCCAGAAGACAAGGGTGGGTTTTCCGCCAGCGCTCTGAATTCTCCAGCCGTAGTGGCTATGGAGAGTATGTGCAACAGACGCTGCAGCCGGGGATGCGAGTGCGGATGCTGGATGATTACGAGGAGATCAGTGCTGGGGACGAGGGCGAGTTCCGGCAGAGCAACAATGGCATTCCGCCTGTGCAGGTGGGCATTGCACAGTGGTGAGACACTGTTGGGAGTTTATTTGGGGTGGCGTATGGCTGGGACTTCCATACAGGGGACTCCCGCAGGCCACCCAAGAAGAACTCCCCACCCCCCCCCCGGGAAATTGAAATAATAGAAGGGTGTTGGCATTTGTGGGGGGTGCATTTGGAGGGCTGAGAAAATCTGGCAGGGGTGTGGGTGGGCTGTGAGTTCGTGAGAGGCTCACCCAGGAAGCAGAACTGATAAATGGAGGTGCCTCCCCACCGCCACCACTGGTGGAAGAGGCTAGGAAGGAATGTGGAAGCAGAGACCATCATGGTTAAGAAAAGAGGCAGGGCCCACTCCTGTTAAGGGAAAGAAGCCTTTTGCCATGTGGGGGTTTTTTCCAGGCTTAGCCAGGTGTGTGTCTTGAGGGTGTGACCCAAATCTATGCTTGGGCATGTCCTTTCAAGCCTTCACAGCCCAAGGCTCAGAGGGTTGAGCCTTCTCTATTCTGCCCTCTTTCTTCCTCCCTCATACCAGGTTTTCTGGCAGTCAACAGGCCGCACTTACTGGGTGCACTGGCACATGCTGGAGATCCTGGGCCCTGAGGAAGCCACTGAGGATAAGGCTTCAGCAGCTGTGGTGAAGCGGGCAGGGGCTCCTGTGTTGGGCACAGGTGAGCCTAAGAGGGGACGTGGATAGTATGTCTCTGAACAGAGGAGTAGTGACTGGGGTGAAGCCACTTCTGACCAGGAGCAGCCCCAGGGGTCCAGAAATGGACCCCATTCCTGAGGGGTGCTGATCCTCGCCCTGCCTGTGTCCTCAGGGTTTCCCTCCTGGGACTGGAATCCTATGGACGGGCTCTACTCTTTGCCCTACCTCCAGCCCGAACCTCAGAAGAATGAGAGAGTGGGATATCTGACCCAGGCTGAGTGGTGGGAGCTGCTTTTCTTCATCAAAAAGTTGGACTTGTGTGAGCAGCAGCCAATTTTCCAGAAGCTTCGGGAGAACCTGGATGAGGTATTACAGGCCTGAGATAACCTAAGGGTTTTGTAGCAGGGTTAGAGGTGGGATTCTCTAGAGGGAGTTTTAGATAAGGGACTCTGCTTGTGGGGAGGCTGGAGCTAGAGGTTAGAGTTCGGAGGCCTGCTGGGGGAGAAGACAAGTGCTGTGAGGGTCTAGTATGTAGAAGGTGTGAGGGCGTATTGGGGAGTGATCACCCTTCCCATTACTGTCCCCCAGACCTTTGTGTCTGCTTGTCTCTAAACGTATACCCCTTCTGTTGACAGACCCTGGGTGAAAAGGCCCTGGGTGAGATCTCCGTGTCCGTGGAGACGGCCGAGGGTCTGCTGCAGATTCTCAGTAGTCGGTTTGAGGGCAGCACCCTCAATGACCTGCTCAACTCCCAGATCTACACCAAGTATGGGCTGCTGTCTAATGAACCAAGCAGCTTGTCTACTTCACGAAGCCACTCCTGTACCCCAGATCCAGAAGAGGAGTCCAAGTCAGAGGCCAGCTTCTCAGAGGAAGAGACTGAGTCCCCCAAAGCAAAGGCCGAGGTCCCTAAGACAGAGGCCGAGCCCACCAAGACAAGGACTGAGCCCCCCATGGCACAGAGTGATTCACAGCTATTTAACCAGCTTCTGGTGGCTGAAGGAATGACCCTGCCCACTGAGATGAAGGAGGCAGCCAGCGGTGAGTCAGGTTCTGGGAGGAAGCAATCGGAACAAGTCCTGGGTGGTCTCAGTAGAAGTAGTGGATAGTCAGGGTAGAAGGAAAGCCATGGAGTAAGGTCATTTTTGCAGGGGGAATTATCTTGGAACCATGCGTCCATCTTCCTTTGACCTTGATTGTGTCTAATTAACCAGTGCTTCCTTCCTTCGGTATCTCTGGAAAAGGAGCATCCTTTTTCTGGGGTATCTTCATCTCCTTTGTTTGATCATGAGATCCCTGACATGGAATTGGAAAACTGTGCAAGCCGCAGTAGCCAATAATGTATTTAAATGTTGGCAGGATAACTGGGCTTGACTTTAAAGACGTCTAACTTCAAGGTGCCACAGTTCTTTTAGCCACTGCCTTTTCCTGCTTGTTTCAGAAATGGCCAGAGCCTTGCGGGGTCCCGGTCCTCGCAGCTCCCTGGATCAGCATGTGGCAGCGGTTGTGGCCACCGTGCAGATATCCAGCTTGGACACAAACCTGCAGCTTTCTGGGCTCTCTGCCCTCTCTCAGGCTGTGGAGGAGGTCACTGAGCGGGACCACCCTCTGGTCCGTCCTGACAGATTGCTGAGGTTAGCCTGTTGGGGAGGAAAGAGGTTTTGGTTGAAGCTGTAGGCAAAGGATGGTGGTAGCGGGGAAGGAGCTGTGGCATCACGAATTAGAAATGCTGGGGGTGGGGGAAGGCTCAGCCTGAGGAGCAGCTGAGCAGGAGGGTTGGATGTTTTAATGGCTCATATTCTTGGTGCAGTCCTGTTATGTCAGGCACGATGCTAGTATTTTACATGCATTCTCTCATTAAATCCCCCTAACACCTGAGGAAGCATTGGTAGTATTACTATCCCACCGTGTGGGTAAGGAAATTGAAGCTTAGAGAATTTAAGTCACTTGCTTAGAGTTTTAGAGATAGCAGAGCCAGGATTCAAGCCTAGGTCTTTCTGGCTGTAGAGATGGAGTTTTTTTCTCTCTTTTTTTTTTTTTTCTGTCCCTACTTACTTTTTATTGTTTGGTTTTTTTTTTTTTTACACATTGTACCTTAAAACCTACTTTGTTTTTAAAGTCTTTTTTTTTTTACTTTTAAATCATACAAATAATACACAGTGTATTCTCATTTTATTTACTTATTTATTTTGATTGATTTATTTACTTAATTTTGAGACAGTCTCACTCTGTCACCCAGGCTGGAATGCAGTAGCATGATCTTGGCCCACTGCAGCCTACACCTCCTGGGTTCAAACAATTCTTATATCTCAGCCTCCTAAGTAGGTGGGATTACAGGTGCCCACCACCATGCCTGGTAATCCCACCTACTTAGGATTTTTGTATTTTAGTAGAGATGGGGTTTCACTGTGTTGGCCAGGATGGTCTCAAACTCATGAGTTCAGATGATCCACCCACCTCAGCCTCCCAAAGTGCTGGGATTACAGGCATGAGTCACCATGCCCATTCTCATTTTAAAACATCTGAAGAGGCCGGGCGCGGTGGCTCACGCCTGTAATCCCAGCACTTTGGGAGGCCGAGGCTGGTGCATCACGAGGTCAGGAGATCGAGACCATCCTGGTCAACATGGTGAAACTCCGTCTCACTAAAAATACAAAAAATTAGCTGGGCATGGTGGCGCGTGCCTGTAATCCCAGCTACTCGGGAGGCTGAGGCAGGAGAATTGCCTGAATCCAGTTGGTGGAGGTTGCGGTGAGCTGAGATCGCGCCATTGCACTCCAGCCTGGGCAACAAGAGCGAAACTCCATCTCAAAAATAAATAAATAAATAAATAAATAAATAAATAAAATAAAAGATCCAAAGAATATAAAAGACCATAGGAAGGCCAAAGTCCTTTCTCACCACTATTATTAGTCTACTGTATCGTATAGATTTGCATTTGTGATTGTGTGTTTGGAAATAGAGCATTTTCTGAGTTTGTGTTTTAGTATATGTAGTCACATTCTGTGTGTTTCTACAACTGTTTTTTGCCCCCACTCAATGTCTTAGAGGGCTTCCCATATCAGTCTGCTTGGAGCTGCCTCATTACTTTTACTGCTGCATAGGACCCTGCAGTGTGGTTATATCCGAGTTCAAGTGCAGTGTTCTAATGGGTCTGTTTTCCCTTATGTCTGCTAACATTGAATATTGTCACCTTTTCAATCTATCTAATTGGCAGCATTTTAAATGATTGGTATCTCCTTGTCTTCGTTTCCTAGTTCTGGTGAAGTTAGGCATATTTGCATACATTTGTTCTGTTTTTTTCTGTAAATATTCTGTTCTGATCTTTTGCCCACTTTTTAATTGAGTCTTTGCCTTTTTCTTATGGATTTATAGCTATTCTGGTTATTCCTTTGTTATTTATGTTCTAAATGTTTTGCTTGTCTTTAAAAAATCATATTAGCTTTATTTTGTGGTTATAGAATAATACATACAGTAAAAAACTTAGACAATTATGAAAATAAAAATTATATGATCATATTCAAGTGAGATTGATAGAAAAAATATCTGAGGCTGGGCGCAGTGGCTCAAGCCTATAATCCCAGCACTTTGGGAGGCCTAGGTGGGTGGATCACGAGGTCAAGAGATCAAGCCCATCCTGGTCAACATGGTGAAACCCCGTCTCTACTAAAAATAAAAATTAGCTGGGCATGGTGGCACGTGCCTGTAATCCCAGCTACTCAGGAGGCTGAGGCAGGAGAATTGCCTGAACCCAGGAGGCGGAGGTTGTGGTGAGCCTAGATCGCGCCATTGCACTCCAGCCTGGGTAACAAGAGCGAAACTCCGTCTCAAAAAAAAAAAAAAAAATCTGAAAACCATTAAGGCAGAGACAATCAATGTTAATATTTTGGTGAACACCCTTACTTATTTCTATGTCTGTTCTTATGTATTACCCATGTATATTATCTAGTATAAAATAAATCATGGCCACAGAAAGGGATATATATTTAAAGCATATTTTATTCACACTGTTGTCATTATAAAGCTTCTTAGAAAAGACAGATTAAAAACAGAACTTTCGGCTGGGCGTGGTGGCTCACCCCTGTAATCTCAGCACTTTGGGAGGCCAAGGTGGGCAGATCACAAGGTCAGGAGATTGAGACCATCCTGGATAACATGGTAAAACCCCGTCTCTACTGAAAATACAAAAATTAGCAGGATGTGGTGGTGCACACCTGTAGTCCCAGCTACTCGGGAGGCTGAGGCAGGAGAATCACTTGAACCTGGGAGGTGGAGGTTGCACTGAGCCGAGATCACACCACTGCACTACACTGTGGGCGACAGAGCAAGACTCTGTCTCAAAAAAAACAAAACAAAAACAAAAACAAAACTTTCTCAGTACCTTTATTTTCCTTCTTTCTCAGAAGTTCTCCTTCCGTGTTCTTTCCCCTCATAGTTCCCGAGCCACCTCCTCAGTTGACCTGAATGTCACTGTTAATCAAGAGTCAGTACCTGCTGTTTTCTCTCGTGACTGTCACTGTGATCCAGGGTTCTGCAGGCACTTTTCCCTTTTCTTTCAGATCAGCATTTCCACTGGCCCCTTTCTCTAGCTCCTGCGCTTGTCTCGTAATTTTGTTTATAGTGTCTTTTTCATCGTGCTAGAGTTTCAGACTTTGTTGCTACATTTTTCAGCTTTTTTATGGCTTCTAGATTTTGTGTCCTACTTAAAAAGATCTATTCTGTTCCAGGATTATAAAAATATTTCCCTATATTTTCCAAAAATACCCATGATTTTGTTTTTTTAAACTCATCCAAAAATTCATTTGCAGTTTATTTTTGCAAATGTTGGGAAGTAGAGCTCCAGCTTCAGTGTTTTCAAATGGATAGCCAGGTGTCTCTAAATTACCCCGTGTGTGTCTGTGTGTGTGTGTGTGTGTGTGTGTGTGTGTGTGTTGTTTTGTTTTGTTTTGTTTTGTTTTTAGAGACAGGGTCTTACTCTGTTGACCAGGCTAGAATACAGTAGCAAGATCACATAGCTCCCTACAGGCTCAAACTCTTAACTTCTAACAACTCTCCTTCCTTATCCTCCTGAGTAACTGGGACTACAGGAACGAGCCACCACACCCAGCTAATTTTTTTAAAAAAAATCTTTTGTAGAGATGGGGTCTCACTACGTTGCCCAGACTGGTTTCAAATTCTTAGCCTCAAGCAATCCTCCCACCTCAGTCAACATTACATTTTATTTATTTATTTATTTACTTATTTATTAGACAGTGTCTTGCTCTGTTGCTTAGGCTGGAGTGCAGAGGTGTGATCTTGGCTCACTGTAACCTCTGCCTCCTCGGTTCAAATGATTTTCCTGCCTCAGCCTCCCGAGTAGCTGGGACTACAGGCCTGTGCCACCACCACACCTGGCTAATTTTTGTATTTTTAGTAGAAATGGGGTTTTACCATGTTGACCAGGCTGGTCTTGAACTCCTGGCCTCATGTGATCCACCCACCTCAGCCTCCCAAAGTGCTGGGATTACAGGCGTGTGTCACTGTACCCAGACAACATTATAATTCAAATGCTTCTTCCTTTTTTTACTGGCTTATACATCACCCTTATCTCTCTTCTCACCTATTGATCTGTTTGACTACCCTAGATCAGTTCCAGGGTCGTAATTATTACAAGTTTATATTTATATTTTGACGATAATAGGCAAGTCTACCACTATTTTTATTTATTTATTTATTTATTTATTTATTTATTTATTTATTTTTGAGACAGAGTTTTTGCTCTTGTTACCCAGGCTGGAGTGCAATGGCGCGATCTCGGCTCACCGCAACCTCCGCCTCCTGGGTTCAGGCAATTCTCCTGCCTCAGCCTCCTGAATAGCTGGGATTACAGGCACGTGCCACCATGCCCAGCTAATTTTTTGTATTTTTAGTAGAGACGGGGTTTCACTATGTTGACCGGGATGGTCTCGATCTCTTGACCTCGTGATCCACCCGCCTCGGCCTCCCAAAGTGCTGGGATTACAGGCTTGAGCCACCGCGCCCGGCCCTATTTATTTATTTTTTGAGACAGAGTCTCACTCTGTCAACCAGGCCACAGTGCAGTGGCATGATCACAGCTCGCTGCAGCCTCAATCTCCCAGGCTCAGGTGATCCTTCCACTTCAGCCTCCCAATTAGCTGGGACTATAGGCACAGGCCACTGTGCGAACTAATTGTTTGTGTTTTTTGTAGACGTAGGGTTTTGCCATGTTGCCCATGGCAAAAGCCATGGGCTCAAGCAGTTTGCCCACCTCGGCCTCCCAAAGTGCTGGGATTACAGGCATAAGCTGCTGTGCCTGGCTACCACGGTTTTTTTCTGAACATTTCCAAGGCCTAGATCTGCCTGTTATGGTGTTTTTAAAAACCTTTTAGGCCAGAATTTTGGGAGGTCAAGATGAGTAGACTGCTTGAGGCTAGGAGTTGGAGACCAGTCTGGCCAACATAGTGAAACCCGTCTCTACTAAAAAACGATACAAAAAAATTAGATGAGTTTGGTGACATGCACCTGTAGTCTCAGCTACTTGAAGAAGCTGAGGCACAAGAGTCACTTGAACCTGGAAGGTGGAGGTTGCAGAGTTCACACCACTGCACTCCAGCCTGGGCAACAGAGCGAGACTCTGTCTAAAACATACATACACGCAAACACACACACGCACCCTTTAGGCATTTTGATTAGTGTCACTTTGAATTTATAGATGTTTTTGAAAAGATGAGCCAGAGTTTGTAAACATTTTTTCTACTGCCTCCTTCATTAGTTGAGGAGCCAAAGGCAGTTAGGTGCAGAGGGGAGGGGCTTGGGGTGAGACTGAGGCAGGGAGAGCAGGTCGGGCAGAGAGGATGGATTAGATCTCGGTGGACGGGATTGGTCAGGGAGTCCGACGGTGTCATGGCTGGGAGGTCAGGCAAGACTCCTCGGGATGGGGATCCCCAGTGTCTCTTCTCTTATCAGAGAGAAGCTGGTGAAGATGCTGGTGGAGCTGCTGACCAACCAGGTGGGAGAGAAGATGGTGGTGGTGCAGGCGTTGCGCCTCCTGTACCTCCTCATGACCAAGCACGAGTGGCGGCCACTCTTTGCCAGGGAGGGTGGCATCTATGCTGTGCTGGTCTGCATGCAAGAATATAAGACTTCTGTCTTGGTACAGCAGGCTGGGCTGGCGGTGAGTACACTGGGCCTGGCGGGCGAGAACAATGGGCAAGACAGGCTGATTGGGGACTACTGATCTTGAGGAGATACTTTGGTGCTTCAGACCAGTGAGTAGACTTTGGAATGGAAAGATGCAGATGGATTTAAGAGTTTGATCTGGACATTCTTGGGGATTGAGTGTCTGGAGAAAGGGAAAGGGAATTTTGGGATTATTTTTGGTGGAGACAGGATCTTGTTATGTTGCCCAGACTGATCTTGAACTCCTGAGCTCAAGTGATCCTACAACTTTAGCTCTCAAGGTGCTGAGATTACAGGCATAAGCTACTGTGCCAGGCCAGGAGGTTTTGTTTGTTTTTTTGTTTTGAGATGGGGTCTCACTCTGTCACCTAGGCTGGAGTGGTGCTATCTTGGCTCACTATAACCTCCACCTTGTAGGTTTAAGGGCTTCTCCTGCCTCAACCTCCTGGGATTACAGGCATGAGCCACTGTGCCTGGCCCAGGCCAGAAGTTTTTAGGAATGACTCCCAGGTGTAAAATTAAGCAGCAGGGTGCATGAAGTGGCCATTTATCGAGCGAATGTTGCAGGAGGAGGAGATATGGGGAGAAGGTCAGGAGTTGAGTTTTCAGGTATGTTGAGTGTGCCTGCCTTTTTAGTTATGATTAGGTGTCTGGTTGAAAACTAATTTTCTAGATGTGACCATTAAACTAGAAATATTTTTTCCCTCTTTTCTCCTAGTGGGACCCTTATATAGAAAATTCTCTGTTACTAGATTTGGGTAAAACAAAGCCAGCATTGCCATTTCTCAGTGAATTGGGAAGGAAGACCCTTATCCAGAGTAGCTTACAGAGGAATTGGCTTCCTGGTTACTCCAGACAGAAGTGCTGGCTGATAGGGTTGTATGGGCAGAGGAGCTCTTCGCAGCCTGAGGGTTCCTGAGGGAGACAGGTAGGCTTCGGCCAGAGCAGTTCTGAGAATGGATTCCAGTAGTATAATGGCAACAACATGAACAGGAGCACATGTCCTCTTAGAGCAGGCTGTCCCAGAAGAGGCCCAGAGGCGCATTTTCTTTATGGGACCAAGAGCAGCCAGGCATTTATAGTCTAGATCATTATGCTCAAAGAATTCCCTGATCCTCTCAAATTACATGACCAAAATATAGCAATTGCCATCCGCTTTAGATCATGGCAAAAAAATAAAATAAATAAAAATGGCTGGGTGTGGTGGCTCACGCCTGTAATCTCAGCACTTTGGGAGGCCAAGGTGGCTGGATCACCTGAGGTCAGGAGTTTGAGACCAGCCTTGCCAACATGGTGAAACCCCATCTCTACTAAAGGTAGAAAATTAGCCAGGCGTGGTGGTGCATGCCTGTAATTGCAGCACTTTGGGAGGCCAAGATGGGTGGATCACCTGAGGTCAGGAGTTCTACACCAGCCTTGCTAACATGGTAAAACTCCATCTCTCCTAAAAATACAAAAGTAGCCAGGCATGGTTGTGCATGCCTGTAATCCCAGCTACTCAGGAGGCTGAGGCAGGAGAATCACTTGAACCGAGGAGGCAGAGGTTGCAGTGAGCTGAGATCGTGCCATTGCACTCTAGCCTAGGCAACAGAGTGAGATTTCATCTCAAAAAAAAAAAAAAAAAGGCCGGGCGTGGTGGCTCAAGCCTGTAATCCCAGCACTTTGGGAGGCCAAGGCGGGTGGATCACGAGGTCAAGAGATCGAGACCATCCTGGTCAACATGGTGAAACCCCGTCTCTACTAAAAATACAAAAAAAAAAAAAAAAATAGCTGGGCATGGTGGCACATGCCTGTAATCCCAGCTACTCAGGAGGCCGAGGCAGGAGAATTGCCTGAACCCAGGAGGCGGAGGTTGTGGTGAGCCGAGATTGCACCATTGCACTGCAGCCTGGGTAACAAGAGCGAAACTCCGTCTCAAAAAAAAAAAAAAAAAATAGCATTGCCCTTAAATTTGAAGTCTTGCCCTGAAATAAAATTGCATCATCTTGTTAATTACCTGAAGTCTACAGAACTCAGCTAACTGGGGGAGGGTGGTGTAACTACAAGGAAAAAGCTTCATGGAGAAGTAGAAGTTACTTTGAAGGTCCAGGCCTTACAAGGATTGTCCCGAGAATTATTTCTAGCCCAGTCCATCTCTAGTGTGTTTCTTGTAGAGAATCAACCCTTCACCAGGAGAGACATTCTCCCCTCTGATTGTATAGTGTCTATTTTAATTTAATTTTTCTCTATAGTTCCAAGCAAACAGGTTTACACATTACGATTATTTTTCTCATAATGCCAACCACTGCCTGTGAGACAACCGAGAAGTCTTACATAGAAGGGCTGGATACTGGCTAAGGCCAGGAGACCCAGGTTTTGGAGACTTGACATATAGGTGGGAATTGAAGCAATGGGAATGGACCTGGTTGCCTCAGTGTGGGAGAGTGTAGAGTCCAGAGAAAGGGGACAAGGGTCCTCAGTGTTTGAGTACCAGGCAAAGCAACACCAGAGAGGTAGGAGAAAAGCCGGGAGGATGTGAAGTCATGGAACTCAGGGGAAAGATTTTGCAAGGGAAGGAGTGCAAGTGAGGTGCAAGACAACTGGAAGAAGCCCCTAAAGACAACTGGATGCTGCGAGGGGCACCATCCTGAGGGGAAGATGCAGGAGAGGCGGGTGTTCCACTCCAGTAGTCTTGGTGCTGCGAGCCCAGGGGCAGAGAGGAGTGGAAGGCTGATCTTACCATCCAGTCTCAGGGTTTGTTGTTGTCGTTGTTTAGTTTCTTTTCTTTCTTCTTTTCCATCCTTCCTCTTTCCCTCTCTTTGTGGCATGTGATGTCCCATCACTACCTCTTCCATTTCTGCCTCCCACTCTACCTATTTGCAGACAGCCAGCTGCTCCCAAGTTTGAGGTGTAGAATGAGGCCCTGGCTTTCCCTTTCCTCGTGGTCGCTCTGCCCACTCCTCACTCTCCTTTCACATCCTCCTCACAGGCACTGAAGATGCTCGCCGTCGCCAGCTCCTCGGAGATCCCCACTTTTGTTACTGGCCGAGATTCTATCCACTCTTTGTTTGATGCTCAGATGACCAGAGAGATCTTCGCCAGCATCGACTCAGCCACACGCCCGGGCTCTGAGAGCCTGCTCCTCACTGTCCCTGCAGCTGTGATCCTGATGCTGAACACTGAGGGGTCAGGGCATTACCCTCCCAACTCCGGGATCCTGCTTAGTCCCAAACCCTACTACTCCTGTGCTCCACAGGAATTCCCCTCACGCTGTCACCTCCCGATTAAGCATTGGTGGCCCAACAACTGTTGTTGGAAGAGAAACCAAGTGGGTTGGGGATAGGGAGATTCCCAGAGAGGGCAGAGACACTGAGCTTCCTTTATGGGTTTGGGAGGAGTGGCCTGAGGTCAGGGGATCAGATGTCCTGGCTCAGAGGGCCCACTGGAGCCCTTTGCTCCCCAGCTGCCTGGCCCTCTGTGCTTGCTTTGCTGCTTCCATTGCACTCATGGTCTCTCGATTTCTTTCTGGTCACCCCCTCCTCCCAGGTGCTCTTCTGCAGTGAGAAATGGCTTGCTCCTGCTCAACCTGCTTTTGTGCAACCACCACACTCTGGGAGACCAGATTATAACCCGAGAGCTGAGAGACACCTTGTTTAGGCACTCAGGGATAGCACCGGGGACAGAGCCTATGCCTACCACACGCACCATCCTCATGATGCTTCTCAATCGCTACTCAGAGCCTCCGGGCAGCCCTGAGCTTGCAGGTACCATTGTGGAGGGGTGGTTTTGCAGAGGAATCACACAGGGCCAGCCCGTGACCAGGAAGGCTAAGGTTTACATAGCAGCTCTTTACTGGAAAGATACAAGGAAATTTCAGGAAATGAGTGAGCATTGCGGTGCTCAGGTTAGGTCTTAAGTAGAACTTCCCGACCAAGAAGAGGAAGACTGTGGGATATGTGCAAGGAAATTGTCTTCCTTTTTCTAAGTTGGAATTTTGCTCTTGTTGCCCAGGCTGGAGTGCAGTGGTGTGATCTCAGCTCACTGCAACCTCCACCTCCCGGGTTCAAGCGATTCTCATGCCTCAGCCTCCCGAGTAGCTGGGATTACAGGTGTCTGCCACCATGCTCAGCTAATTTTTGTGTTTAGTAGAGACAGCATTTCACCGTGTTGGCCAAGCTGGTCTCAAACTCCTGACCTCAGGAGATCCACCTGCCTCGGCCTCCCAAAGTGCTGGGATTACAGGTGTGAGCCACAGTGCCTGGCTGGAAATTGCCTTATTGAATGGCTTTAAACATATGGATTCCCATCTGTCTGGGCTAGGTTTGGCCCAGTCTTATTGCACAGTAGAAGATTCATTGAAATGATGTATCTAGGAAGGCCTTTCTTCTTTTTTCTTTTATGCTTAACTTTCTCTTCACAGAATAGGGAGGCTTTCTTAAAAGGAATTATAATTTATGGTACAGAACATTTGTGCCTAGAAACACGAAATACTGATACTGGGGAAGAAACCCTTTGTGACTGAGAAACAAGTGTAAACCTAGAAGTATGGAGGGATACTGAAATAGGAAATATGTGGCTGGGTGCAATAGCTCATGCCTTTAATCCCAGCACTTTGGGAGGCTGAGGCAGGCAGATCACTTGAGGTCCGCAGTTTGAAACCAGCCTGGCCAACATGGAACCGAGTCTCTATTAAAAATATAAAAATTAGCTGGGTGTGGTGGTGGGTGCCTGTAATCTAAGCTACTTGGGAGGCTGAGGCAGGAGAATTGCTTGAGCTCAGGATTGAGCCAAGAGATCATGCCACTGCACTTTAGCCTGGGTGACAGAGCGAGACTCCGTTTCAAAAAAAAGAAATAGGAAACATGTATGTATCTTTTAGTCCGTGAACCTAAAGCCACCATGCAGGTAGTACAGGGATGTAATCATCGAATCTAATATTTACTATTGCTAACAGTTATACAACTATAAGATTTAAAATGTTGGCTGGGCACGGTGGCTCACGCCTGTAATCCCAGTACTTTGGGAGGCTGAGGTGGGTGAATCACCTGAGATCAGGAGTTTGAGATCAGCCTGACCAACATGGCGAAGCCCCGTCTCTACTAAAAATACAAAAAAAATTAACTGGGCATGGTGGTGCGTGCCTGCAATCCCAGCTACCCAGGAGGCTGAGGCAGGAGAATCGCTGGAACCCAGGAGGCAGAGGCTGCAGTGAGCCGAGATTGCGCCACTACACTCCAGCCTGGAACAAGACTCCATCTCAAAAAAAAAAAAAAAAAGATTTAAAATGTCTTGTGTTTAACTTGACAATGTTTGCTCTACTAGGTTTTCTTTCAAATGCGGTTAGGTTTGTATATGGGGCCAGGAAAGAAAATTCCTCATAGTTTGGTTAACAACTGAAGATATTCTCAATATGGAAGGAAAATTTTGGGGTGATTTTCTGGATCTTCCCAGTTCTCAGTTTGACAAACTAGTAAGACTCTTCATCCACATTTTTCCCTCCGATGTGTCTGGCTGCAGCACTGGAGACCCCCATCATCCAGGGTCAGGATGGGTCGCCTGAGCTACTGATTCGATCCCTGGTGGGGGGCCCATCTGCAGAACTACTCCTGGATTTGGAGCGCATGCTATGCCGTGAGGGCAGCCCTGGGGGTGCTGTGAGACCCCTTCTCAAGCGCCTCCAGCAGGAAACCCAGCCTTTCCTCCTGTTGCTGCGGACTCTGGATGCTCCCGGGCCCAACAAGACTCTGCTGCTGTCTGTGCTGAGGTGAGGGACCTATTGAGGTGCATGCATTGGGATGAGGGGAACTGGCAGACTTCAGGGACTTCACTTGTTCCATCCCCTCACCAGGGTCATGACCCGACTGCTGGATTTCCCTGAGGCAGTGGTCCTCCCTTGGCACGAGGTCTTGGAGCCCTGCCTCAACTGCCTGAGTGGCCCTAGCAGTGACTCTGAGGTACCAGAGCCCTGGCAAGGGGCAGGGAGGGGAAGGCAGCATCTGGGGTACCAACTTCCTTGTGAGGCTCTGGAGGGCACAGCAAAGCCTTTCTGAATGAATCTTCGGGCACTGGGATGGGCGTAGGAAGAAGAAGGGTAACGTCATCTAAGAATCTCCAGAACTGAGCCGGGTGCGGTGGTTGAAGCCTGTAATCCCAGCCCTTTGGGAGGCTAAGGCGGGTGGATCATGAGGTCAAGTGATCGAGACCATCCTGGTCAACACGGTGAAACCCCGTCTCTACTAAAAATACAAAAAAATTAGCTGGGCGTGGTGGCGCGTGCCTGTAATCCCAGCTACTCAGGAGGCTGAGGCAGGAGAATTGCCTGAGCCCAGGAGGCGGAGGTTGCGGTGAGCCGAGATCGCGCCATTGCACTCCAGCCTGGGTAACAAGAGCGAAACTCCGTCTCAAAAAAAAAAAAAAAAAAAGAATCTCCAGAACTGGGATCTTTGAGGTATAAGCCCCTTAGATGAACCTGGATTTTAGATTCTGGATAAAGGAAAGGCCCACATTCACCAATCCAAACAGCTCTCCTCCCTTCAGGGTTTGTGCATTGGAGAGCAAGGCTCAGGCATCAGGGTTAACATAGCTTGGCCTAGCAGGAAGCAGCCTGGAAAGCTGTGCCGGAGCTCTCTTCCTGCCAACTCACTCTGGAGTCCTAGTACCCCTCTATCTTACTCCACCCAGATTTTTGGTGCTCTTCTTTCCCTGGGCTTCTGCATGTCTCCAAAATCTCAGCCACTATGCTTCCTTTACTGAGCCCTCTCCTCAACACTTACATGTCCTGCCCCTTGTTTCCTGTAAATTCATCTATGTGGCTGTGGGCTCAGATTGTTCAGGAGTTGACCTGCTTCCTACATCGCCTGGCCTCGATGCATAAGGACTATGCTGTGGTTCTCTGCTGCCTGGGCGCAAAAGAGGTCCTCTCCAAAGTCCTGGACAAGCACTCAGCTCAGCTGCTGCTGGGCTGTGAGCTTCAGGACCTGGTGACAGAGTGTGAGAAGTATGCACAGCTCTACAGCAACCTCACCTCCAGCATTCTGGCCGGCTGCATTCAGGTGAGGAGCGGCTGAGAGAATGTAAGTCAGAACGAGGGGAAGGGAGTCAATGGGTTCCTCTTTGGTATCCCTGTGTGGTATTCGTGTTTGGCACAGGCAGTAGCAAATCTGGGGCACTTGTTTCCTAACCTTGACTTTACATGGTTCTGTCAAAATTTAGGGAGAGAGCAGTTGAGTGTTCTGTTGACCCTTAACTTTTTCTCTCTACCTGTTTCTGTCTGTTTCTCTGTGTTCCTCCTCCTCCCTCTCCTCCTCCTCCCTGATGTTCCCGCTGCAGATGGTTCTGGGCCAGATTGAAGACCACAGACGAACCTACCAACCCATCAATATCCCCTTCTTTGATGTGTTCCTCAGGCATCTCTGCCAGGGTTAGTGCCCTTACCTGCTTTCTCCTGGCTCCCGTCCAGTGTCTGTTCGCCCCTTCCCTTCCTGCTCCCGAGACCTTTTTCCTTTTTTCTCTCTCAATTTACTTGGCTGTGACCACCACACCCTCCCACTTGCCCCCAGGCTCCAGTGTGGAAGTGAAGGAGGACAAGTGCTGGGAGAAGGTGGAGGTGTCCTCCAACCCGCACCGGGCCAGCAAGCTGATGGACCATAACCCCAAAACCTACTGGGAGTCCAACGGCAGCACCGGATCCCACTACATCACCCTGCACATGCACCGTGGGGTTCTTGTTAGGTGTGAACACACAGAAGGGAATGTTCTTCTGTGCCCCAGGATACTTCCCTAAAGCACCCAGATACACACAACCCCAGTTATCACCCCCATGCTGGAGGGACACACTCAAACCAATTTCGTGCAGTGAACACATAGACACATTGACCTGCCTTTGCTGTGCTGAGTACAGACATCCCCTCAGCCTGGAATCTGGTGACTGTACTCCAGCAGGTACAGATGTCACCGCCCTTGCTTAGTGTTGAGGGAAGATCCATAGCTCACTTACCCATTTCTCCTGTGGGCATTTGTGCCAGGCACTGTGCAGGGGTCTGGAAATAGAAGGACAATAAGGTATGGTTCCTGCATTCCAGCTGGGGAGCCACACTAGAAAATCAAGTAAGAGCAGAGTAAGAAAAAGCACGTGGTCCACATGTGGACCTGAGGCTGAGGCATCAGAGCAGGCTTCCTTTTGGAAGGAGGGGGTGACTGAGCTGGGTTTTGACATTGAAATTAGGTAGATAAAGAGGGGGCAATATTCTAGGCACAAGGACAGCATATGTGCAAAACGGAAGTAAGACACAGAATATTTGGAGGGACTTGAAGTCATCATGTTTGGCTGCAGTGAAAGCTGTGTATATCAAAGCGGCAGAAGATACAAGCCAGAAAAGTAGCAAAGGTGGATCACAAAGTGGTGAGCTAAGAAGTGTGAACTTTATTCCAAAACTTTGGAGAGCCAATGGAACATTTTAAGAAGGGAAGAGAGAAAACTATATATGTTTTTTTTTGTTTGTTTGTTTTGTTTTCTTTGTTTTTTTTTTTTTTTTTTTGAGACTGAGTCTCACTTTGTTGCCCAGGCTGGAGTGCTACAGACATGCGCCACCACACCTGACTATTTTTTGTATTTTTAGTAGAGACGGGGTTTCACCATTTTGGCCAGACTAGTCTTGAACTCCTGACCTCGTGATCCACCTGCCTTGGCCGCCCAAAGTGCTGGGATTACAGGCGTGAGCCACCATGCCCAGCCAAAAATGAGATTTTTTTTTTTTTTTTTTTTTTTTTGAGACAGAGTTTCACTCTTGTTACCCAGGATGGAGTGCAGTGGCGCGATCTTGGCGATCTTGGCTCACCGCAACCTCCGCCTCCTGGGTTCAGGCAATTCTGCCTCAGCCTCCTGAGTAGCTGGGATTACAGGCATGCGCCACGATGCCCAGCTAATTTTTTGTATTTTTAGTAGAGACGGGGTTTCACCATGTTGACTAGGATGGTCTCGATCTCTTGACCTCATGATCCACCTGCCTCAGCCTCCCAAAGTGCTGGAATTACAGGCGTGAGCCACCGCGCCGGGTCCAAGATTTTTTTTTTTAATCAAAAACTAGATTTTTTGTTGAGAAAGCTCACTCTGGAAATTATAGGAGTTTGGTTGGGAGTCAGAAGAAAGAGGTGGAAGATTTGTGCAGTGGTCTAGTAGAGAAAGGATCCATATGTTCAGCTAGTCAGCAGGAGTGGGAATGGACTGGAAAGTCCTTAGGAGCCCGCAGGACTTGCCTTTGGGTCAGGGAAGCCACGAGAAGGTGAAGACCACAGTGACCGTATTCTAGTTGAGTACTGCGTGCACGGAAGTTTTATTTTCCAGGAGAGAAATAGGAAGTGGGGCAGGTTTCTGTGGACAGATGATCATTTCATTTGAGCATGTTGACTTTGAGGTGCCCATGGGACATGACATGGGGACACAGCACGAAAGCTCAGGACAGTGGCCTGGGCTAGAGATGTGGATTTGGAGTCCTCTGTGGATTAATTTTCAGTTGAAACTGTGGGTTTAAATTTAGCCACTTTGGGGGAATATAAAGGGAAGAGCAGAGGGTGTAGTGAGGAACAGGAGCCTGAGAAAGAAGTGGTGGGTTGAAATAGTTTTCAACTAAAACCAGAGCACTGGCCTTTTTATTTATTTATTTTCATTTTTATATTGTAGAGGTGGGATCTTGCCATGTTGCCCAGATTGAGCTTAAACTAGCCTCAAGCAATCCTCCCACCTAAGCCTCCCGAAGTGTGGGGATTAAAGGTGTGAGCTGCCACGTGCAGAGGCCCAGCTTTGACTGCTTCCTTTCTCCCTTCCCAGGCAGCTCACTTTGCTGGTGGCCAGTGAGGACTCAAGCTACATGCCAGCCAGAGTGGTGGTGTTTGGGGGTGACAGCACCAGCTGCATCAGCACTGAGCTCAACACGGTGGGGACCCTTGTGCCCCCTTCACCTGGCTCCACATCCTTTTTGTCCCAGTGCCCATAGGGAGGACCTAGTCCCTGGGGGATGGTGACATCCCTTCCTCCTGGGAAGGCATTGTCTTGTAAGCAGTGAGAGTGGGATTAGGGATATGGAGCCATGTAGATCCTGGGCTCTGCAGAAGTGAAGGGCAGACACCATGACCAACTTGGTTACCGTCAACAATTTTTCCACCTGTTTCTGGAGGTGACAGCTGTTTCCTCTCCGTCTTCTCCCCTGCCCTGCCAGGTGAATGTGATGCCCTGTGCCAGCCGGGTGATCCTTCTGGAGAACCTGAACCGTTTCTGGCCCATCATCCAGATCCGCATAAAGCGCTGCCAGCAGGTGGGGCCAGGGCGTCAGCCGGGGCTGAGGAGGAGGAGGTGGCACAGGGTCTCCAGAGTGTCTGGGTTCTCTTAACATCTAGAGGCTAGGGCTTTAGCCAGCGTTTCTTCTTGATCCACTTGGGAGATGGCCCAGGGACCTGTTGAGTCCCAGAGATGTGGGGATGTCCTGAGCAGTTCTAGAGAGCTCAGGACAGGAGGCCTGGTTTTGGTAGTACCCAGTGGCTCAGCGGCTTAGGTGACAAGACAGCTAAGTCTCTGCTGTTGCAGGGCGGCATTGACACCCGGGTTCGGGGTGTGGAGGTCCTGGGTCCTAAGCCCACATTCTGGCCACTGTTCCGGGAGCAGCTGTGTCGCCGAACATGTCTCTTTTACACAATTCGGGCACAAGCCTGGAGCCAGGACATAGCAGAAGACCGCCGCCGCCTCCTCCAGCTCTGTCCCAGGTGGGTGGGGCCTGATGAGGGAATATGGGTAAGGGAAAAGGACACTGTAAGAAGTAGGTGGTGGGAGGGATGCTTCTGTGGGAGTCCAGCAGGGAAAGCTGCAGCCAGAACAGGAGGGGGAAGGTGAACATAGGTAAGAAGTGTGTGTTGACTGGAAAGAGTTGGATCAGGGACCAAACCAGGGTGACTGGGAGCTGATTTGCACTTGAATGGAGGCCTTAGGGAAATCCAGTGCCTTTAATCCTCCACCATGCACTGTTTGTTCCTAGACTGAACAGGGTTTTGCGCCACGAGCAGAATTTCGCTGACCGCTTCCTCCCTGACGACGAGGCCGCCCAAGCGCTGGGCAAGACCTGCTGGGAGGCCCTGGTCAGCCCCCTGGTGCAGAACATCACCTCTCCCGGTAACCATGCTGACACCTGCCCCCACTAACCAGCTCCTTGACCTTATTCCCAGGGATCACCTGAGTTAATGCTCTTGGTTCTTTTGGTTCCTGTCTTTATCCCTGAAGGCCTGTCACCTCAGTGTTCCTCTCTCCTTCCTGCCCCAGGCACTGCTCCCTGAGACTCTGGTATTTGAATCTTCCCCACAACCCCATCCCCGCCCTGTTACCATCTCCCCAGACTCCAGCTGAAGCACACCTTGGTGAGGGGAGGACTAGGGTGCTGCTGCCCCTCAAGCCTTTTTATACAATTGATCCTCCTCCCTCCTCTGCCCTGGGCTGTCTGGTCTCCCATCTCCCATGGAGACCTGTTCCTGACCTGTCTTCTTGCAGATGAAGAAGGTGTGAGTGCCCTGGGGTGGCTGCTGGATCAGTACTTAGAACAGAGAGAGAGCTCGCGGAACCCCCTGAGTCGAGCAGCGTCCTTTGCTTCTCGCGTCCGTCGGCTTTGCCACTTGCTGGTGCATGTGGAGCCTCCTCCTGGGCCTCTTCCTGAGCCATCCTCTCGGCCCTGTAAGTCCCAGCTGTGGCCAGTGGCGCTTAGGCTGCGGGGAGTGGTGCATCTGGCTCCTTCCTCCCTGCTTTTTACTCTTGCTGCTTTGCTGCTGGCCTTTCCAGGCCCCTGAGACCTCTTGGCCTTTCCAGGAGATCACTACCCAAGCCTGGTAGACTCACCCGGAGGCTGAGATAAAGCCCCTTCTTTCTTCCTCTGTCTCCACAGTCAGCAAGAACAGTAAGGGTCGGGAGCGGAGCCCGGCGCCTTCACCAGTGCTTCCCAGCAGCAGCCTGAGGAACATAACCCAGTGCTGGCTGAGCGTGGTGCAGGAGCAGGTAGGCAGAAGCAAGCTGAAGTCTGCAGAGGGGAGGGGCTGCTCCCTTTACGGCATTTCTTGCCTCCCTCCTCAGGTCGGCAGATTTCTGGCTGCAGCCTGGAGGGCCCCAGACTTTGTGCCTCGTTACTGTAAACTCTATGAGCACTTGCAGAGAGCAGGCTCCGAGCTGTTTGGGCCTCGGGCAGCCTTCACGCTGGCTCTGCGCAGCGGCTTCTCTGGCGCCTTGCTGCAGCAGTCCTTCCTCACTGCTGCTCACGTGAGTCCCGCCAGCTCCCCACAGGGCTGTAAGCTCATGTTCCAAGTTCATCTCTTTCTGCCCTACCCTTTCACCTTCGTTCCCTCCCCAGTCTCCTACTCCGTTCCCTCATTCATGGTTTGCCCATATCCTTTCCCTTGCTCCCAGATGAGTGAGCGGTTTGCCAGGTACATTGACCAACAGATCCAGGGTGGCCTGATTGGTGGAGCTCCTGGAGTGGAAATGCTGGGGCAGCTTCAGCGGCACCTAGAACCCATCATGGTCCTTTCTGGTCTGGAACTGGCCACAACTTTTGAGCACTTCTATCAGTGAGTGCAGGTCTGGAGGGGTGGGGGATGGAGGCCTAGTTGAGAGAGTGGGAAGAGTTGAATCTTTAGGGGAGATGAGGGAAGAGGCTGTGCAGAGGAGAGATTAAGATGTGGAGATGGCTAGCCAGGTGTGGTGGCTCATGCCTGTAATCTCAGCACTTTGGGAGGCTAAGGCGGGCGGATCACCTGAGGTCAAGAGTTCAAGACCAGCCTGGCCAACATGGTAAAACCCCATCTCTACTAAAAATACAAAAGTCAGCCAGGCATGGTGGTGGGCGCCTGTAATCCCAGCTTCTCGGGAGGCTGAAGCAGGAGAATTGTTTGAACCTGGGAGGCGGAGGTTGCGGTGAGCTGAGGCCACATTATTGCACTCCAGCCTGGAGCGACAAGAGCAAGACTCGGTCTCAAAAAAAATAAAATAAAATGAGATGATTATACCTTGGTGGAAAGGGAGTGGGAAAGAAGAAGTGAGGAAGGGCCTGTGACTCAGGCAGGTTGTAACAAAGGGACCTATATTCTCGAGGGGGAGTCTGGGCCATGCTGGCACCCACATTGAGGCTTGGCCTGGGCTGTGTGTGCTACAGGCATTACATGGCGGACCGTCTCCTGAGCTTTGGCTCAAGCTGGCTGGAGGGGGCCGTGCTAGAGCAGATTGGCCTCTGTTTTCCCAACCGCCTCCCCCAGCTGATGCTGCGGAGCCTGAGCACCTCTGAGGAGCTGCAGCGCCAGTTCCACCTCTTCCAGCTCCAGCGGCTCGACAGGTTGTTTTTGGAGCAGGAAGACAAGGAGGAAAAGGGACTAGAGGAAGAGGAGGTAAGAGCAGGGAGAAAGGAGAGTAAGGAGACTAGACCAAAGAAGGGAGCCCAAGGGCCCTTGAAATCCTTCTGTCCCTCAGGAGGAAGAGGAGGAAGAGGAAGCTGACAAAGAACTGTTTATCGAAGATCCAAGTCCAGCCATTTCTATACTGGTCCTGTCACCACGCTGCTGGCCGGTCTCCCCACTCTGCTACCTGTACCATCCCAGAAAGTGCCTTCCCACAGAATTCTGTGATGCCCTTGACCGTTTCTCCAGTTTCTACAGCCAGAGTGAGGAACTAGGGAGAGGAAATCGGAGATCGGGGTGAGATTCGGGGTGGCAAGAGAGGGACAGGAGAGGACCTTTGGACAGGATATAGATACGAAGAAAAATATCAGCTCCTAGGGAAGGGTGAGAAAGCATGGGGGTAGTTTCATTAATTTCTGCTCTCATCAGTTCTTTCAACTTTCTATGAATTTGTTCTATTTTCTTTTTCTAACTTCAAGGAGGGTGCTTGATTGTTAGTCTTTTCAGACTTTTTTTTCCAAGTAAAAGTATTTAAGACTATTCATTTCCCTCTAAATATTGCTTTAGCAGCATCCTGTAAAGTTTTATATATATATATACGTAATTTATTTATTTATTTATTTTGAGATGGAGTCTCACTCTGTTGCCCAGGCCAGAGTGCAGTGGTGCTATCTCGGCTCACTGCAGCCTTCGCTTCCCAGGTTCAAGCAATTCTCCGTCCCAGCCTCCTGAGTAGCTGGGACTACAAGTGTGTGCCATCACACCTGGCTCATTTTGTATTTTTAGTAGAAATGGGGTTTCACCATGTTGGCCAGGCTGGTCTCAAACTCCTGACCTCAAGTGATCCACCCGCCTCGGCCTCCCAAAGTGTTGGGATTTCAGGTGTGTGCCACTGTGCCCGCCCTAAAAGATTCTTTAGATTGGGATATAACTAGTACTCAGTAAAGTGCACAAATCTTAATTATAAGGCTTCACAAATAATTGTATTAATATACACCCTTGTATCTACCTCCCTCACACCCCCATCAAAATACAGAACATTTCCAGGATCGTGGAAGGCTCTCTCCTTGATGCCCCCTTTCCAGTCAATGTCGTCTTCCAGGAGAAAACATTATTCTTAACCTTTATCACCATAGATATTTGTCTGTATTTGAACATCATATAAATGGAATCATACAGTATTCTGCCATGTCTGATGTCTTTCACAAAGCATCCTGTCTATGAGAGTTAATCCAGGTTGTCAAGGGTATCATTAGTTTATTCATTTCTTTTGCTGAGCCATATTCCATTGTATGGATGTGTTTACTTTCTGCTGTTGATGGACATTTGGGATGTTCCATAAGTTTTTCTTATGTATTATTTTTATTATTGTGTAGTTCTGAGAATTTTAAAATTTCTATGATTATTTCTTTATTTTGTTTTTCAGAAGAATATATTTTTAATTTCCAAACAATGTTTCTTTGTTTAGTTATTTTTTGTGTGTGTTTTATATTTGTGCCTTCATTCCCCTGTGGCCAAAGAGCATGGTTTCTATGATTCTGAATCTTTGCAGTTTATTGAAACTTCCTTTTGACTTGGTAGATGCTCATATTTTATGTGTTTCATGTGTGATTAAGAAGAATGTGTATTCTTAACTGGATTCTACATATTTCACCAAATTGACCTTGCTAATTGTATTGTTGACATCTTCTGTAAACTCACTAGTTTTTGTCTACTTGATCTACTACTGAGAGAGGTGTGCTGAAATCTACCACTATGATGGTGAATTTTTTAAAACTGTTATCATATAGGTTTTACTGTATATATATTTTTTGGCCATTTTGTTAGAAGGTTAAAATAGTTTAACAGCACCATCCAGTAGAACTTTCTGCAATGATGGAAAAATTCTTTTCAGAATGGCAATCATACTGAAAGGTGCCTTTCAGTATGATTGTCATTCATGGCAATTAAGTAACTGGAGTGTGGCTAATATAACTGAGGATCTAAATATTTAATTTAATTGTAATCAGTTTATTTTATTTTAGTTTTTTGAGATGGAATCTCGCTCTGTCACCCAGGCTGGAGTATAGTGGCTTGATCTTGGCTCAGTGTAATCTCTGCCTCCTGGGTTCAAGGGATTCTTCTGCCTCAGCCTACTGATTAGCTGGGATTACAGGTGCTTGCCACTATGCCCCACTAAGTTTTCTATTTTTAGTAGAGATGAGGTTTCACCATGTTGGCTAGGCTGGTCTCGAACTCCAGGCCTCAGGTGATCTGGCTGCCGTGGCCTCCCAAAGTGTGGGATTACAGGCGTGAGCCACTGCACCTGGCCGTAGTCAGTTTAAATTTAAATACTTACATGTGGCTAATGGCTACTACGATGGACCATGCAGGTTTAGAAACTTCAGAGTCAATGAAACATTATGAAGTGACTTTCTTTCTTTCTAATAAAGCTTTTCTCTAGAAGACTATTTTTCTCTGGTATTAGCAGTATACCTGCTTTCTTGGTTTAATATCTTTCCAGTATATCTTTATCTGTCTTTGGCTTTTTGTTTTTGCATGGAGAGAAGTTCTTAAATCTTTTTTTTTTTTTTTGATACGGAGTCTCACTTGGTCACCCAGGCTGGAGTGCATTGGTGCAATCTTGGCTCACTGCAACCTCTACCTCCTGGGTTCAGGCGATTCTTCTGACTTAGTCTCCCGAGTAGCTGGGACTACAGGCACATGCCACCACAGCCAGCTAATTTTTTTTTATTTTTTTATTTTTAGTAGAAATGGGGTTTCACCATCTTGGCCAGGCTGGTCTCAAACTCCTGATCTCATGATGCACCCACCTCAGCCTCCCAAAGTGCTGGGATTACAGGCGTGAGCCACCACACCCAGCCAATCTTTTAGATACCTTTTTAAAAAATTACGATAAAATATGTCTAGTATAACATTTGCCAATTTAAACATTCAAAGTATATAATTTATCCTTTTACTTTTTTTTTTTTTTTTGAGAGGGGGTGTCACCGTCATCTAGGCTGGAGTACAGTGTCATGATCTCAGCTGGCTTACTGCAGTCTCTGCCTTCCAGGCTCAAGTGATCTTCCCATCTCAGTCTCCCAAGTAGCTGGGACTGTAGGTGTATACCACTACTCACAGCTAATTTTTGTATTTTTTGTAGAGACCGGTTTGCCATGTTGCTTAGGCTGGTCTCGAACTCCTGGACTCAAGCGATTCTTCCTGGCTCAGCCTCCCAAAGTGCTGAGCCACCGTACCCAGCCTCCTTAAACTTTTTAATAATGAAAGTTAGATTTAGAGGTTTCAACAGGTTCAGATTTTTTTTCCTTCATGTATATTTCTTTATATACCACACCTGGCTTATCCTTTTACTTAAAAGAAAATTTCTTTGTAAATAATTTCAGATTTACAGAAAATTAGAATAATGATACAAAGAATACCTACCTACTCTTTATCCAAGTTTACCTTTTGTTAACATTTTGTTAATGTTTGCTTTTATCATTTGCTATTTGTGTATGTATATGTGTATATATGTATGTATAGAGAGACATTTTGTTTTTCTAAAACTTTGAGAATAAATTGCATATATGCTGGCCCTTTACCCCTAAATACTTTAGTACATATTTCCTAAGAATAAAGGTCTTCTCTTATATAACCACAATTCATTTATCAATTGCAAAATTTTAACTTTGGTATAAATACCATGATCTAGTTTTCCATATTCTATTTTTATTTTTTTTTGAGATGGAATCACACTCGGTCTCTCAGGCTGGAGTGCAGTGGTGTGATCTCGGCTCACTGCAGCCTTTGCCTCCTGAGTTCAAGTGATTCTGCTGCCTCAGGCTCCTGAGTAGCTGGGATTACAGCTCCCACTACCACACCTGGCTACTTTTTGTACTTTTAGTAGAGACTGGGTTTTGCCATGTTGACCAGGCTGGTCTCAAACTCCCTCCTGACCTCAGGTGATCCGCCTGCCTCGGCCTCCCAAAGTGCTGGGATTGCAGACATGAGCCACCGCACCCAACTTCCATATTCTAGTTTTGTCAACTGACCTATAATGTCTTCTGTGACTTCATTTTTTTGTCCAGGACAGGATCCAGTCTAGGATCACCTGTTACATTTAGTTGGCATGTCTCTTTAGTCTCCTTTAATCTAGAACAGTTCCCCAGCATTTCTTTGTCTTTTATGACATTGACATTTTTGGAGAATACAGCCCTTTAACATTTTTTTTTTTTTTTTTTGAGATAGAGTCTTGCTCTGACACCCAGGCGGGAGTGCCGTGAAACGACCCTGGCTCACTACAACCTCTGCCTTCCGGGTTCAAGCAACTTTCCTGCCTCAGCCTCCTGAGTAGCTGGGATTACAGGCACGTGCCACCATGCCCAGCTAATTTTTGTATTTTTTCTTAGTACAGATGGGGTTTCGCCATGTTGGCCAGGCTGGTCTCGAACTCCTGACCTCAAGTGATCTGCCCACCTCGGCCTCCCTAAGTGCTAGGATTACAGGCATGAGCCACTGCACCGGTCCCTTTTACATTTTTTAAATGGCTTCTGTTTTAAGTTTGTATGATATTTCCTCATGATTAGATTCAGGTTATACATTCCCAGGCAGAATACTAAGTATGTGGTAGGCATGTACTTCTTAAGGCTTTATACCCTGAAGCACAGAATTTTAATCTTTATGATGTCCAGTTTGTCAACCTGGCCAAGAAGTTGTTTGATTTCTCCACTCATATAGTTAATGTTTTTTCCCTTGCTACAATTAATATGCATTCTGTAGGGGGAGATACTTCAAAATCATGCCAGTATTCTACTCTTGTTAGAATTTCCCCTGGGATTATTTTATTTTTAACTTTGCCATACCCTTAATGTTTTAGGCACATGTCTTATAAAAACCTAGAATTTTTTGTTCCGCCTGACAATCTCTTTTTGAGATGTCAATTTTAGCTTATTTATTATGAATAATAAATTCATAATGAATTCATTTATTTATTAATTGGCTCTTTCTAACTTCTTATTTTATGTTTTTGTTTACCCTTCTTATATTTAAAGAAGAATAAGTTGAACACCTATATACATATGATTCTACCCTGGGTTTTTGTGCTTTTTTCTTCTTTTGGATTGATTGATTTTTAAAAAAAAAAATGTCTTTTTTGTTGGTATCAGTTTTAGAACTTAGGCATTCTATTTCTATAATTGAATACCCTTGTTTTTTTTTTTTTTTTTTTTTTTTTGAGACAGAGTTTCACTCTTGTTACCCAGGCTGGAGTGCAATGGCGCGATCTCGGCTCACTGCAACATCTGCCTCCTGGGTTCAGGCAATTCTCCTGCCTCAGTCTTCTGAGTAGCTGGGATTACAGGCACGTGCCACCATGCCCAGCTAATGTTTTGTATTTTTAGTAGAGACGGGGTTTCACCATGTTGACCAGGGTGGTCTCGATCTCTTGACCTCGAGATCAACCCGCCTCGGCCTCCCAAAGTGCTGGGATTACAGGCTTGAGCCACCGCGCCCAGCTTACCCTTGTATTTTTAACCTGTATCCTTGATTTGCTAATGCCACTTCCCACATTTTTGAACAATAAAAAGATGTTAGAAAATCTTAACTCTAGCTGTAACTCCCATATTACTTATTACTATTGTTCCATGTTTTAGAATTATCTTTTTTTAACTTCCAGCATTGTCATTATTATGATTTATTCATGGATATTTACATTTGCCACCATGCCAGTTGCTTTAGTCACCATTTATTTTGCCTCTTGGTCCTTCTTCTTTTTAAAATAAATCTGTTAGAAGTGTCTTCAGGCTGGGCGTGGTGGCTCATACCTGTAATCGCAGCACTTTGGGAGGCTGAGATGGGTGGATCACCTGAGGTCAGGAGTTTGAGACCAGCCTGGCCAACATGGTGAAACCTTGTTTCTACTAAAAATACAAAAATTAGGCTGGGCGTGGTGGCTCATGCCTGTAATCCAAGCACTTTGAAGGCCAAGGTGGGCGGATCACCTGAGGTCAGGAGTTCAAGACCGGCCTGACCAACATGGTGAAACCCCATCTTAAAAAAATAATAATAATAAATTAAATTAAATTAAATTAAAATTAAAATAAAGTAAAAATACAAAAGTTATCCAAGCGTAGTGGCACACACCTGTAATCCCAGCCACTCGAGAGGCTGAGGCAGGAGAATCGCTTGAGCCAGGGAAGTGGAGGTTGCAGTGAGCCAAGATCATGCAACTGTACTCCAGCCCAGGGAACAGAGTGAGACTCCATCTCAAAAAAAAAAAAAAAAAAAAAAAAGTGAGTGTCTTCATTGAGGTAGTATTAATGGAAAACCCTACCAGTTTTTTTATTTGTCTGAGAAGGGTTATTTTCACCCTCATTTAAAAAGTGTTTTTATTTCAAACATACATAAATGTAGACAGACTAAACTCCAACATATATCAACTCATGGTCAATCTTGCTTCAATCTGTACCTCCATCAATTTTTCCCCACCCCCAAATTTAAAAGATAAGTACTGTCTCTTTTTTTGAAAAAATAAGGAGACTACAATTATTAAATATTTAGAAATTTGCAATTCAAATATACAGTCATTGTTCATATTTCCCTGATTGCCTTGGGGTTTTTTGGTTAGTTATTTTGTTTAGTGAGGAGCCAAATGAGGTCCACGCATTGCATTTGGTTGCGTTACCCGACATCTCTCTTTATCTATAGATTTTCACCTCCCGTTTTTCCCTTCTTGCAGTTATTTCAGGAGGAAAGTGGGTTATTCATTCATGAGCTGGATTTTGCTGATTGCATTCATGTGGTGTCCTCAAGCATATTACTCTGTCTCCTTTATTTCCTGAAAACTGATTTGTAGGTGTAGAGGCTTATTCAGATTTGGGTTTGATTTATCCAGCAAGGGTGCTTCATTGGTGGTATGTGTCTTTCCACCAGGAGGCAGGTTCAGCCTAGCTGTCTCCCTTTGTGATGCTGAGATGGATCAGTGGATTTTAGTGTTGTCAGTCTTGTCTATACATTACATGTAATTTTCCATCAGTTTTTCACCAGGCAGGTGTTTCTACCATTGGTTAGTTAGGCCTATCATTTCATTAGGGGTTATGAAATAGTTATATCTAGTTCTGTCATTCCTTTTTCATGTATTACTTGGAATGCTTTCAAGAGAAACTTTCTTTCACCAACTATATATTTACCCTGAAGTCCAGTTTATACAGGAAAGGCTTGATTGTTTCCTCTTCCCATTATTTTTAACTAGTTTTAAAAATAATGTGTTGGTTCTCTAGTATCTTTTAAATATAACCAATGAGGTTTTTTAAAAATATATCATTATGAACTCATAGATTTTAAAATACTTTGTGTGTTTCCATCACACACTGCAGGTGTTCTGTTTTGTTTTTTTTATGCTCAAATTGTCCCATCTTTGGTTAGAGGGCATCTCTCAGATGCGCTCCTGGTCCCTTTAATACTCTTCCTTTGACAGTTTCCTTGCTTTCTAGTATGAACACATGTCTCAGGCTCACCTTGCCTGGGCTGTGAAACAGGAGGAGGAAGAGATCTAGCTCAGTGGGTCTTTCAAGCTGTGAGCTCCTTGAGGGCAAAATGCAAGTTTTTTTCTTTCTGGTTTTTTTTTTGCATGGAACCTGCCTGGCTCAAGGCTAGGCTCTGGGTCTAGGGATGGGCTCCTAGATACTTGTGGCTCACCAGGGAGGCAGGTGCAGAGAAGGCTAAGATGTTGAAGCTTGACAAGGTGCGTCTCTGTCTGAAAATGCTGGGGCCCTCCTCCCCGCGGGGATTAGTAGGAGCAAAGCTTGACACCTCAACCCTGAAACCCCTGGTTTCCTCCATTCTGTGTCTCCATCCTTCTCCCTGACACTTTCCTAGGTCAGAACCATCCAGTCCTGGACATGGGACCGCATCGGCGCCTGCAGTGGACATGGCTGGGCCGGGCTGAGCTGCAGTTTGGGAACCAGACTCTGCATGTGTCCACCGTGCAGATGTGGCTGCTACTGAATTTCAATCAGAAAGAGGTGCTTGAGCCCTTAGCCTCTCTCTGTCTTCTCTACCACCTGTCTGTCTGTTCTCCTGAACACTGTTCCTCTTTTCAACCCTCCTCCCCTCTTCCTTTTCTCTCCTGTGACTCCTGACTGGGCGTTTCTCCTCTTCAGGAGGTGTCAGTAGAGACCTTGCTGAAGGATTCTGACCTCTCCCCAGAGCTGCTGCTCCAGGCGCTTGTGCCCCTCACCTCAGGGAATGGCCCTCTGACCCTGCATGAGGGTCAGGACTTTCCACACAGGGGTAGGTCAACGGGGGCTGGGCTGGGCCTCTGCTGCTGGTTGGGGGGTCACTCTCAGGATGGGGGAACTGTAGTAGGGACTGAGAATGGGGTCATCTTAGTCCCCATTCATCTGTCCCTCTGCCTTCTCCGGTATCTGACCGGGAGTGGGTTCCAGGTGTGCTTCGGCTTCATGAGCCTGGTCCCCAGCGCAGTGGAGAGGCCCTGTGGCTGATACCTCCCCAGGCGTACCTGAACGTAGCAAAGGATGAGGGCCGAACCCTGGAACAAAAGAGGAATCTCTTGAGCTGTCTTCTTGTTCGTATTCTCAAAGCCCACGGGGAAAAGGGCCTCCACATTGATCAGCTGGTTTGTCTGGTAGGCAGAGAGGGGACCATGAAGTTGGGGGAGGGAGGGAGGGAGTCATGCTTGGGGTTGGGGATGAGCACAGGGTGCTCTTTCAATATGAGACCTCTGTGGCTTGACATTTCCATCTGGTTTTCTGTCCTGACAGATCAGATAGACAGAAGGTAAAGATAAGACAGGAGTATTGACCATGTGCCCTATTCTAAGAGTTTGCATGATTAAATCATTTAATCCAGCTGGGCACAGTGGCTCGTATCTGTAATCCCAGCACTCTGGAAGGTCGAGGCAGGCGGATCACTTGAGGCCAGGAGTTTGAGACCAGCCTGGCCAATATGGCAAAACCCCGTGTCTACTAAAAATATAAAAATTAGTTGGGCCTGGTAGCACATGCCTGTAATCCCAGCTACTTAGGAGGCTGAGGCGTAAGAATTGCTTGAACCCAGGAGGTAGAGATTACAGTAAGCCAAGATTATACCACTGTACTCCAGCCTGGGCAATGGAGCAGGACTCTGTCTCAAAAAGGAAAAAAAGTCATTTAATCCTCACGACAATCCTATAAATATTATTTTATCTCATTTGACAGATAAGAACAGTGAAGTATGAGAAACTTAATAGTGGCCAGGCAGGCATCGTGGCTCATGCCTATAATCCCAGCACTTTGGGAGGCCGAGGTGGATGGATCACTTGAGGTCAGGAGTTTGTGACCAGCCTGGCCAACATGGTGAATCCCCGTCTCGACTAAAATACAAAATTAGCCCGGCATGGTGGTGCACACTTGTAGTCCCAGCTACTTGGGAGGCTGAAGCAGGAGAATCACTTGAACCCAGGAGGTAGAGATTGCAGTAAGAGATAGTGACACAGCACTCCAGCCTGAGCAAGAGTGAGACTCTGTCAAAAAAAAAAAAAAAGAGAGAGCGAGCGAGAGAGAGAGAAACTTAATAACAAATTCATAATCACACAGCTAGTAAGTGGCAGAACGGCCAGATACTGGTGGCTTATGTGGGAGGATTGCTTGAGCCCAGGAGTTTGAGGCTGCGGTGGGCTATGATCATGCCACTGCACTCTAGCCTGGGTAACAGAGCAAGATTATCGCTTTCAAAATTTTTTTTTTTTTACTTTTTAGAGCTAAAAAAAGAAGGGAAAAAAAAAGGGAATAAGTGGCAGAGCCAAGCGTAAGTGGCTAGGGAGCCAGGCAGACTGCTCCCTAGGTAAAATTGGCCTTCTTGTTTCTTTCCTCCTATCCAGGTGCTGGAGGCCTGGCAGAAGGGTCCAAATCCTCCTGGAAGCCTGGGCCACGCTGTTGCTGGAGGTGTGGCCTGTACCAGTACAGATGTCCTCTCTTGCATCCTGCACCTCTTGGGCCAGGGCTATGTGAAACGGCGTGATGACCGGCCCCAGATCCTGATGTATGCTGCTCCAGAACCCATGGGGCCCTGCTGGGGTCAGGCAGATGTCCCTTTCTGTGGCAGCCAGAGCAAGACCTCCAAACCTAGGTAGCCACCCCACCTGACCCCTTGCTTTGAGGTGGGAGAGGTTGTCATGACAAAGCTGAGATCCCTTGTGGAGAAACACTTCCCTTCTTTCTTTATCTAAGCCTTTTTTCCCTATCCCTGTTATTTCCCTGACTTTGGTAGTTCTCATTGAGCCTCCCAGCACCACCATCCCTTTCTGGTCAGGGGTCTTGCTCTCCCCATCCTCCTAGGGCCAGCCCTGTATAGACGTCTGCAATTTGTAGGAGATACCTATTGAGTGCTATGTACTCTACTCAGTGAAATATACAAACTTTCAGGAAGTTTGTTCTACAGAGGAATTTGCCATAGGATTTCTCTAATCAGCCAGCAGCCCTGAAGCTTTTTAATGTTCACTGGAAGCTGTTATAGCCCTGCTTTTCATGCCTGGTGTTTGCATCATGTGTAAAGTGAATTATCTCCAGCCGTCTTTCTCAAACCTCAACATGGTGCTAGTGCTAAAATGCAGATGTTAACAGCAGAGCTCTCTGTGATGCCTGTGCTGCTGGTCCACAGGCCACACTTGAGCAGTAAGGATGGAGATGACTGCTCTGACCACAGGTGCTGCCACCATTTGTGGTGGGATCTACAGTGGGACTGTCCCATCTGCTATTGGTCTCTTAGCACCCTGACCCCTAGATAACTATTGTGTCCCCAATCATTGTGACAGCCAGCCCCACCCTGAGATTTACAAGTGCTTCTGTGGAGGACCTGCTCTGATGGTTGGTTTGGGTGGTTATCCTGAGGCTGATTAGGCAAGCAAGCAAGTATGCGCAAGTAGGGAGCTGGGGGCCAGGTGGGGTTCAGATAGTAGGTTGGATAAGCAGGACAGGAATACTGACTTCTGTATCTTCTTTCCCCACAAGCCCAGAAGCTGTGGCTACCCTGGCATCTCTACAGTTGCCTGCAGGCCGCACCATGAGCCCCCAGGAAGTAGAAGGCTTGATGGAACAGACGGTGCGTCAGGTGCAGGAGACACTGAACTTAGAGCCAGATGTCGCTCAGCACCTTCTGGCTCATTCCCACTGGGGCACCGAACAGCTGCTGCAGAGCTACAGTGAGAACCCTGAGCCACTGCTGCTGGCTGCTGGGCTGTGTGTACCCCAGGCCCAGGCTGCACCTGCACGGCCAGACCACTGCCCCGTCTGTGTGAGCCCCCTGGGGCGTGACGACGACTTGCCCTCCCTCTGCTGCATGCACTACTGCTGTAAGGTGAGGCCCCACCAGCATTGTTCCTGCCCCTGGCTTTCTGCCCTACCCTAACAAAATACCCTGGGAATTCTTGGGTTCTAGCCCAGCACTGCCATTTCATAACCTGGGCAATATTGGATTCGTCTCTTAGTCCTTCTTAAACTAGTTTTGTCATCTGTAAGTGGGACCACCTGCCTTTGACACTCTGAAGGGTGGTGGTTAGGGTCCAGCTACGTATATCAGTGGTTCTCCAGCTTCATAGTATAATCACTGGAAGCTTTTATAAGTCCTAATGTCCAGATGATACCTCAGACCAATTAAACCAGAACCTCTGGGAGTGAGAAAACTGCAGGAAGTTTTAAAGCCTCCCCATGAGATTCCCATTATCAGCCAAGTTAGAACTAAGAGATACACATGCAAAATAGATGTCAAGGCACTTTGTGAAGTGTTTGCAAACGTGTTATTAGATTGGCGATAACTCTAGCTTGTGGTTGCCTTATCACCATTTAAGTCCCCTCATCTCAGCACACTATTACTGCTTTTATCATATACGCTCACTTAATACAAAAACATTTTTTTTAATGGGCCTGGTGAGGTGGTTGCACACCTATAATGACAGCACTTTGGGAGGCCAAGGTGGTCAGATCACTTGACCCCAGAAGTTCCAGACCAGCCTGGGCAACATGGCAAGACCCCGTCTCTACAAAAAAAAATACAAAAATAAGCTGGGCATGGTGGTGCACACCTATAGTCCCAGCTACTCAGGAGCAACCTCAGGGAGGATCACCTGAGCCTGGGAGGCGGGAGGCTGCAGTGAGCCAGTATCTCACCATTGCACTTCAGCCAAGAGGACAGAATGAGATCCTGCCTCAGGGTCTTCTTGCTCTGTCGGCTTGCTTCTATAGAGGGGGACACAGAGAAACTTGCAGATTGGGAGTGAGTCATCTTCAAAGGCAGAGAGAGTGGGGCTGAGGTGGAGAGAACCTGCAGCACTGAGTTCAATATTCCCTGCCTCGCAGCTCTTTAGAACTGGTGCCAAGCACAAACACATCGGCTTAGCAGGAGGGGCACTCCTGGTTGCCATCAATCCCAGCTGCCTCTCCCAGCAGCATTTCCCCATTGGTGGGTGATGGACATGTGTGTGCTCACGTGCACGTGTGGACTCTTTTTCTCTTTCCCTTTGGCTCTGCTTCTGGCTTCTCTTCTCACTTCGTTGCTTATGCTCCCTTTTCCCAAGATCTTACTTATTTCCTTTACACTTTCATTTTTTCATTCAACTAATATTTTTCATGGATTTATGTATGTAGCACTGGGTGTTATATGAGGTATTGAAAAAAATCCCAGCAAGAAATGACCAGAGAACTAATAATATTGATGGGAGCTCACTCTGAGCCAGGCACTGTGCTGTTTACATGCAATCTTTTACTTCTCATACTAGTTTTATGAGGTGGGTATTTTTGTCATTCCCAATTTACACGACAGAGGGAGACACTCGGAGGTGCAGTAATTTGCCCAAGGTCAGGATTTGAATTTTGGCAGTCTCAAGCAATCCTCCCACCTTGACCCCCACAAAGTGCTGGTATTGCAGGCAGGAGCCACCACACCCAGCCTGACAGCAGATTTTCTTTTATGAGAAGCCATGGTGGGTTTAGGCAAAATAGTGATATGATGTGGTTTACATTTTTAAAAAGATCGCTTTGGCCATGGTATGGAGGAAAGGGTTGGATGGAGCAAGAGTGGAAGCAGGGAGGCCCATCTGGTGACTGTTGTACAAGAGGCAAGAGATGGTGGTAGTTCGGACTGGGGCCGTGGCGATGAGAGCGGGTGGATAAGGACACATTTGGAAGTGGAGCTGACGGGATTAGGTGGGTTAGATGTAGGGGCTTCAGACAAAGGAATTGAGGATGGTTTCTGTGCTTTTGACCTGAGCATCTGGGTGGATGGCATGTGTCATCTTTACTCTGTTGTGGCCCTATGAAGTTTGAGCTGCTTGTTGGACACCTGTGTGGAACTGGCAGGTAGACCGTGGATTTCTGAATTTGGAATGAAGTGGAGAGGCCTTACTGGCCTCACCCAAGGAGAAAGAAGCAGACCCAGGGTACCAAGCCTGTAGAGATAGAGAGATGGGCGGGTCTCAGGAGGCTGAGATCCAGACAGACAACATAGCAAGACCCTGTCTCTACAAAGAATAGAAAAAAACTTTACCCAGGCATGGGAGTGCACACCTGTAGTCCTGGCTACTCAGGAGGCTGAGGTGGGAGGATCGCTTGAGTCTGGGAGATCGAGGCTGCGGTGAGCCATGGCCGTGGTGAGCCATGATTGTGCCACTGCAGTCCAGCGTGGGTGACAGAGAGAGACCCTGTCTAAAAAGAGAGAGAGAGAGAGAGAGAGAGAGAGAGACAAGGAGCCTGAAAACAAGGCAGATGCACAGGCTGACTGAAAAGCCCCCGCAGAGGAGGAGCCTGTGCAGCAGTGCAAGAGAAGCCGCTGGATGGTGTCCCGGGTGAGCCCGACCAGTTGGGTTGGACAACAGTCATGAGAGCAGCTGGGGGTCCCCAGACTGAGATGCGAGGGCAGAAGGGAACACGGAGGCGCTAGTGTGCCTTTAAGAGTAGGGTCTGAATTCAGAGAACATTTTCGCTGTTCTATCTCAAAAAGGCAAGAATTTGCATTCAACTTCCCAACTTTGTCTGGGTTAGTTTCAATGCAAAAAGGGTTCTGCTTACTTTGGGCTGGTACTTTGAGTAAAAATGATCCAGTCAGGTGCTGCACATTGATGCAGCTTTGATACCACAGACACACAGTCTCCCGTGGGTTTAGACCCGTCATTTTGGAAAGCGTGGCCATAGGCAGTGTGAGAGGCAGGGGTGGTTCATGGAGTATTGTAGGAGGCTCCGACGGCCTCGACGGCTGCTCATGTGGAAAATAGACCAAATGGATGGTGTGGAGAGAGACCGGGAGAGGATACCGTGGATCAGAACAGGCTTTCACAGTGGTTTAGGGATGAGAGGATAATGGCCTGATTTAGGATGGCGGAGTGACACGGGAGCAAGAGAATGACATGAAGGTTCCAACACTGGTGACGAGGGGACAGTGGTGCAGGTTGGTCAGGGTTTGGGGGATGCAATGGGCAAGCCAGTTTTATAGAGAAGATGCTGGGTCTGTTGGAGGCGTGAGTCAGAGATGGGAGCATCCTGACAGTCATTGGAGATGAGCCAGTGGAGCTGGAAGGAGAGACCAGAGCTGTGTTGTCGGCCACCCAGGTGACCCATTTCCCAGGCCTCCTTTCTCTCGGATCTCCCTGCTCTCTGCACATGTTAGAATTTGAATCTTTCTCCTTTTTCATGATTATTTTTATTTTATTTTACTGTCCATCCCAACAGTAATTGTGATTAGGGAAACACACAGCCTACCCCATCCTCAAAGACAACTGTAATTTTGGGCCAGTCTCAGCGAAGCTGGAGAGAGGAGAGTCAGCATTGGTTGATGCAGAGGCAGGCTTGTCTCTGGCCTTCCACGTTGTAATGGGGGGGAGAGGGAGGAGGGATGATAGCTGAGTTACCAGGACACTCCCCCTGTGCTGCTCCCACACTGTCTCGGAGCAGCCCCTCCTTTTGTCCCTCCCAGTCTTGCTGGAACGAGTACCTGACAACTCGGATCGAGCAGAACCTTGTGTTGAATTGTACCTGCCCCATTGCCGACTGCCCCGCCCAGCCCACCGGAGCCTTTATTCGTGCCATCGTCTCCTCGCCAGAGGTCATCTCCAAGGTATCCCCTCTCGGCTGAGAGGCTCCAGTGCAGAGCCAAAGGGGCGTCCCAGGGAGTGGGCCGGGGCCTGGAGGTGTGGCATCCTGGGGAGCCATACCCTCACCTCATGGCGCCTGCATCTCCACAGTACGAGAAGGCACTCCTGCGTGGCTATGTGGAGAGCTGCTCCAACCTGACGTGGTGCACCAACCCGCAGGGCTGCGACCGTATCCTGTGCCGTCAGGGTCTGGGCTGTGGGACCACCTGCTCCAAGTGTGGCTGGGCCTCTTGCTTCAACTGTAGCTTCCCTGAGGTGGGTGCCCCACACCGGCCCTGACCCTGAGCAACGACTCACACTCCTTCCCTGCCTAACACCCCCTCCCTCCCACACACACAGACTGTGACTTGGCCCTCCTCAGCCTCTACCACCCAGCTGAGCTCTGTCCCTCTTCCTGGAGCCCTCCAGATGTGACCTGTGCCTGCCCCCCGACTCCTTTGTGCACCAGCCGTGCTGCCCTCAGGGCTCAGCTGTGTCCCCACTGTGCCCTCTTGCCCTAGGCACACTACCCTGCCAGCTGTGGCCACATGTCTCAGTGGGTCGATGACGGCGGCTACTACGATGGCATGAGCGTGGAGGCGCAGAGCAAGCACCTGGCCAAGCTCATCTCCAAGCGCTGTCCCAGCTGCCAGGCTCCCATCGAGAAGAACGAGGGGTGCCTGCAGTAAGAAGGGGGTGCTGAGGGGAGCCAGAGGGCAAGGAGGAGGGAGGAGGCCTGGCAGAAGAAGGGAGGAGTGGGCTTAGTATAAAGCTCAGCGAAAGAGGGTGGTTCCTCAGCTGCCCCTCACATGGCAGCCTCCATGGTGACTTCCTGGATCATGTTCCTTCCCCACTTTTTTTTGTTTTGCTTTGTTTTGTTTTGTTTTGTTTTTTGTTTTTTGAGACAGAGTTTCGCTCTTGTTACCCAGGCTGGAGTGCAATGGCGCGATCTCAGCTCACCGCAACCTCCGCCTCCTGGGTTCAGGCAATTCTCCTGCCTCAGCCTCCTGAGTAGCTGGGATTACAGGCACGCGCCACCACGCCCAGCTAATTTTTTGTATTTTTAGTAGAGACGGGGTTTCACCATGTTGACCAGGATGGTCTCGATCTCTTGACCTCGTGATCCGCCCGCCTCGGCCTCCCAAAGTGCTGGGATTACAGGCGTGAGCCACCGCGCCCGGCCCTTCCCCACTTTTAAGTCTAGTTTCCACTTTTAATTCTCTCTGACTGGGAGAATTCAAAAGCAGGGGTGTATTCAGCAGGGCTGGGTATGACCAAGACCATCAGAGCAGGAGCGGAGGCCACGGCAGCAGCAGCAGTGCCTCTGGGCCTTAGCATTCCTGGCACGGCCCTGCCCAGAGGCAGGAGTCCCTGACCAGCTAGCTTCCTCCGTAGCATGACCTGCGCCAAATGTAACCATGGATTCTGCTGGCGCTGCCTCAAGTCCTGGAAGCCAAATCACAAAGACTATTACAACTGCTCTGCCATGGTAAGGCGCTGGGCACCAGGGGAGGGGTGCTGCAGCCAGGTCCCGGGCACGCAGAGCTCCGTGTGTAGTGCAGCGTTCTAGCTGCTGGGACAGAGGCTCAGTGCGGGGAAGACAGAGCCACCTGGGCCTGCAGTTGCTGAAAATTCTGTTCACGGGAACCTTCAGCTGTAGAACAGGACTTTGCACACTGAGGTGGCTATGGAAAGGCTGGGGAGGGCTGGGCACTCTCAGGAGGCAGCGGGGCAGAGCAGGGACCCTGCAGGTGGAGCGTGGCTCTGCCGCTTAGCATGTGGCTTTGAGCAAGTCTGTTGACTTCTCAACAGCCTCTGCAAAAGGGGATGAATAATATGAGCAACCCCACACAGTTACGAGGACTGAAGACGATAATTGGGGGAGGTGTAGAAAGCCCTCCATGAATGCTGGCTTTTCCTCTTATTAACTCCCTCCTGTCCAAACCAAACACCCACTAGCCCTCTCAACTTGTCCTCGCTAGGTGAGCAAGGCAGCTCGCCAAGAGAAGCGATTTCAGGACTATAACGAGAGGTGCACTTTCCATCACCAGGCACGGGTGAGCCGGGAGGAAACAGTGGGTAGATGCCTGCAGAAGCAGGGTGGGGTGGAGGGGGGCTGAAGGGGTTAGGGTGCTGACTGGGATGGGGTGCTATTTTGCATCCGACCGGGCGGTGGTGCTGCGCTGCCTGTACTGGTGCTGATACACCTTCCTGCACAGGAGTTTGCTGTGAACCTGCGGAACCGGGTGTCTGCCATCCATGAAGTGCCCCCGCCCAGATCCTTCACCTTCCTCAATGATGCCTGCCAGGGACTGGAGCAGGCTCGGAAGGTGGTAGCGGGTGGGGGAGGAGGGCAGGGGAGGGGTGGTGTGCCAAGGAGGTCTGGGGGGCTTAGCTGCTTTAATCAGACTTGCCTGGAGGGAATGAGGAGAGGGCAGGTGGGAGAGCTGACGGGAGCCCCTGCAGGTGCTGGCCTATGCCTGCGTGTACAGCTTCTACAGCCAGGACGCGGAGTACATGGACGTGGTGGAGCAGCAGACGGAGAACCTGGAGCTGCACACCAATGCCCTGCAGATCCTCCTGGGTGAGCCGCCCCTGCCAGCCAGGCCCTCCTCCTGCCGCCTCCTCTCTGCTGCACATCCCGTCCCCTCCCAGACAGGTCAAGCCGCACCCCACTTTCCCTCTGTCCTCTTCCTCTTCATTCTTTGTGGCCTTCTCACCGCCTGGTTTTTAAAGTTCAAGTCGAAAGCCTACGTTGTAAGGTGCTCCAGGGCACAGATGTTCGTGGCTGTTCATGCTTTCTGGTCTCTACCCTGCTCCCCTAGGGAGCTTCATGAGTATCTAGAGCTGCACCTGGCGCTTGGTAGATGTTCCCTAGGTGTTTGTTGGAGGAAGGAGTGGATGGGAATGAGAAGGGAGGGAGCCTCTGTGCCTGCCCCCTCTGCAGAGGAGACCCTGCTGCGCTGCAGAGACCTGGCCTCCTCCCTGCGCCTCCTTCGGGCCGACTGCCTCAGCACAGGCATGGAGCTGCTCCGGCGGATCCAGGAGAGGCTGCTTGCCATCCTGCAGCATTCCACCCAGGTACCCCCCAGACCCCTTCTGCTCCTGCATTCCTCGGGAGTGTGGTCCTCTTGGCCCAGCACAGCCTCGGGCCTGGGGCAAGTTCAGAAAGGCAGCAGAGTGGGTGAATGGCTGTTAGGAGACCTGGGCGCATGTCCGGCTCCTGGGCCAACCTGCCTGATGCTGCCGGACCCTGTCACCTCACTTCCTGAGAATTCCGACAAATAAAGAGGTTGGCTAGCCCACGTCAAGGGTATCTGGTCAGGTGCCTATCAGAATCACTTGGGAAACTTTTCCAGACCATACTTTCCAGATACGGATTTGAAATCCTAGGAGTGGGCATCAGGGAATTGGGCCTACTGGAGCAAGGGCTCTCCCAGGCTCTCTCCAGCTCTAATGCACCGATGCTGAGTCTAAACTGAATCCCATCCTCAGGTTGCTTACTGACTGGTAAGTCATGAAAAGACACACATAGATTACCTGTAAGCTCCTAAGCACAGGGCGGTGTGCCTCACCCTGGTACCCCGTATCCCTGGAGACTGTGTGAGTTAACTGACATAGGCAGTGGTGTGTGAAGTGCCGTGCTGAGAGGGGAGCAGTCCTAGCAGGAGCCTGGCCCTCACAGAGCATCGGTGGATGGAATGCTGGCTCCAAAGGCCCCACGCCCTCTACTGTCCTACTCCCCGAATTCTTCTGTCTGCTCGCCAGGATTTCCGGGTTGGTCTCCAGAGTCCCTCAGTAGAGGCCTGGGAGGCAAAAGGACCCAACGTGCCCGGCAATCAGTAAGTGGGGTGAGCAGAGCCACAGAGGAGGCAGTGGGAAATGGCAGCCGCCTCCGGGCTGAGTGTGGTGGCTCTCCCTAGGCCCCAGGCCGCCTCAGGGCCAGAGGCGGAGGAGGAGGAGGAGGAGGAGGAGGAGGAGGAAGACGATGAGGATGATGTGCCCGAGTGGCAGCAGGATGAATTTGATGAGGAGCTGGACAATGACAGCTTCTCCTACGATGAGTCCGAGAACCTGGACCAAGAGACTTTCTTCTTTGGTGATGAGGAGGAGGATGAAGATGAGGCCTATGACTGAGGGGGGCAGATGCAGGAAACACCTAGAGCCGTCCGGAGCTGATGGGGCAGGAGCTGCCCCTGTCGTGGGGAGGGGGATTCCCAGCGTCTGCCGTGGCTCCTTCTGTTGACCGAATAAAGCTAAGTTCCCTTTCTCACACACGTCTCTGGGAGAAGGCTGACAGCTTCACCAGGGGCCAGCCAGTTTCCAGTGCCCTGGCCCACACCCACCCACACCCCTCATCTTTACTGTTACCCTTACTAAAGGGTACTGTTTCCTTTAGACCTTAGGACTCTTCTCCTCCAAGAAGGCTCAGAGCAGACTCATTTGACCTAAGCTGATAAAGGGAAGTAAAGGTTGTCATGGAAAGGGCCAGGTGCAGCCCCAGCCCAGTTCAGAGGAGACAGAGAGAGGGATGGCCACCTCCAGGAGGAGTCTTCCTCCCAACTCTTTTTTTTTTTTTTTTAACCCCTGAGACGGAGTTTCGCTTTTGTCACCCAGGCTGGAGTGCAATGGTGTGATCTCAGCTCACTGCATCCTCTGCCTCCCGGGTTCAAGCAATTCTCCTGCCTCAGCCTACTTAGTAGCTGGGATTACTGGTGTGCACCACCACACCCAGCTAATTTTTGTATTTTTAGTAGAGACAAGGTTTCCCCATGTTGCCAGGCTGGTCTCGACCTCCTGAGTTCAGGTGATCCACCTGCCTTGGGCTCCCAAAGTGTTGGGATTACAGGAGTGAGCCACCGTGCCTGGCCTTTCCTCCCAACTCTTAAGTGTTCCTGGGGAGGAGGGGACTTGAGGGTATTAGGAGGTTTCTAAAGCATCTCTCTGTATCTTTAAGTGAAGTGTGACGGGAAAGGGTACTGAGGGCCTGCCCCACCCCCATGACTCCCACAGACAAAGTTGGGAATTTGGTTTTTTTTTTTTTGAGATGAAATGTCGCTCTGTCATCCAGGCTGGAGTGCAGTAGCATGATCTCGGCTCACTGCAACCTCCGCCTCCCAGGTTCAAGCAATTCTCAGGCCTCTCAAGTCTCCTGAGTAGCTGGGATTACAGGGACGTGTCACCATGCCCAACTAATTTTTGTATTTTTGGTGGAGATAGGGTTTTGTTATGTTGGCCAGGCTAGTCTTAAACACTTGACCTGAAGTGATCCACCCGCCTCAGCCTCCCAAAGTGCTCAGGTTACAGGTGTGAGCTACCACTCCCGGCAGAAAGTTGGGATTTTAACTGTACCTTTTAATTTGCTCCTGGGGCTGAGAGGAAGGAATGGTATTAGAGCAGTGTCTGAGACCAGGTGAGATTCAGTCAAGTGGTTGGGTCAGGGGCGGCAGCCACCTGTCCTGGAGGATCGGCCTCGAAGTATCGATCCAGCAGGGCCTCCACCTCCCCCTCCTCATAGTCCCACACCTGGATCCGAGAGCCATCTGCTGCTCCCCGGATCATGGCCGAAAGCACTGGAAAGGGGAGGGAAAGGTGAAGCTGCCTCCCATCCACACCCTCATAGCTCCCCTCCCCCTGCCCTGTTGGGGGAGGCGCAGTGCTCAGAGCCCACCAGGGAAGGAGTTCGGCTGGGTCCACAGAAAGCCAAGAGGGAGGCAGGGGTGCTCACCTCTACCAGACTGCGGGCGGAACAGGCACAGGATCCGCTTGTTGAGGGCCACAGCCCGGCCCAGCTCATAGCCTACACCTAAGGATGGCTGTGTCACTTCTGCCACAACCGCTGGGAAGAAAGATGAGAGGAAGGCTCAGCACTGGGGGTGCCTGGGGTTCATGAGGGAGATGACGGCGTAAGTGTGGTGAGGAGGGAAATCTGGGAGTCCCTTCTAGGTGTGGGGGCCGGGATATCCAGGGGAATCCAGCACTTCAGAGGAGTTAGGTGCTGGAAGGAGAGAGCGCCACTCACCGTCTGCCTGCTGCAGCCACGCCAAGTCCCGCTCATGGATGAGCCTGTCATCCCCAACAGCCTCTTCCCCTGTGGTTGAGGCAAGGCTGGTTGAGAACATGTCTCATGCTGGCTCCCAGTAATGCCTATGCCCTTGCATGTCCGTACCCACCCTGCTTAGGATAACCTGGCCCAACATGACGATCTCATCAAAGTAGCAAGGAAATGGAATAGCCACAAAAAGAAAAATTCAACCCTGTGCATGGTGGGATGTGTGATTCAGGCCGAATGAGAACACAGGCAGCACTAACTTTGGATGGGAGTGATTGGGGTAAGGTGCATCAGCACTTGGCCAAAGGTAGGAGAGGCATCCTGGAGCCAGAGGGTAAGGATCTTGGGTCCCAGCCTCATTAAATGTTATCTTCCAGGATGGTGAGGCTCAGCCCACTGCATCAGGGCAGGACCACCGGGGATCTGGTTAGAAGTAGATTCCAGGGCTGGGCACGGTGGCTCATGCCTGTCATCCCAACGTTTTGGGAGGCTGAGGTGTGTGGATCACTTGATTTCAGGAGTTCAACACCAGCCTGGCCAACATGGTGAAACCCCATCTCTACTAAAAATACAAAAATTAGCCAGATGTGGTGGTGGGCACCTGTAATCCCAGCTACTTGGGGGTCTGAGACAGAATTGCTTGAATTCAGGAGGCAGAAGTTGCAGTGAGCCAAGAATGTGTCACAATACTCCAACCTGGGCAACAGAACAAGACTCCGTCTAAAAAAGAAAGTACAGATTTAGGCTGGGTGCGGTGGTTCACGCCTGTAATCCCAGCACTTTGAGGCCAAGGTGGGAGGATCACGAGGTCAGGAGTTCAAGACCAGTCTGAGCAACATGGTGAAACTCCATCTCTACTCAAAATAAAAATTAGCTGGGCGTGGTGGGTAAGTGCCTGTAATTCCAGCTACTCGGGAGGTTGAGGCAGGAGAATTGCTTGAACCTGGGAGGCAGAGGTTGCCGTGAGTGGAGGTCACGCCACTGCACTCCAGCCTGGGCGACAGAGCAAGACTCCATCTTGGGGCCAGGGTGTGAGGGGTGCAAGAAGTACAGATTGGAAGGCTTTATCCCAGATGATCGGAACCTGCATTTTTAACAAGCTTCCTCAGATGACACTAAAACCCTGGAGAGCCACCAGGCAGTGTGGCTATACCATGAACTAATGAGCCATTAGCTTCAGGGTCCTCCTCCACTTCCACAGGCCCTTTCCAAACCATAGGCAGCTTTGTATTGTGATTTTTGTTTTTTTAAAGAGGTCTCCCAGAATTGCATGAGGCCCCACAAATTGTGGGCCTGCTCTTGGGTAAGTGGAAGCCACTTAAGGTTTTTTCTGAGCAGAAGCACAAGCATTCAGGGCACAATTTTCAAACAGGAAGGATCAGCAAGATTCCAGACCAGCACATCAAAGCATGCTGTAGAAATCCAGCAGACTCAGTGGCTCACGCCTGTAATCCCAGCACTTTGGGAGGCCGAGGCAGGCGGATCACTTGTGCTCAGGAGTTCAAGACCAGCCTGGCCAACACGGCAAAATCCCATCCCTATAAAAAATACAAAAATTAACCAGGTGTGGTGGCACACACCTGTAGTCCCAGCTACTTGGGAGGCTGAGGGGGGCGGATTGCTCAAGCCTAGGAGGTGGAGGTTGGCAGTGAGCTGAGATTTCACCACTGCACTCTAGCCTAGGTACAGAACAAGACTTAATAATAATAATAATATTAATAATAATAATAATAACCCAGCAGCCAGGAGCAGAACACAATAACGACTTGAAAGAGAACATGAGGCCAGCATGGGGCCCACACCTATAATCTCAGCATTTTGGGAGGCCTGAGGCGGGAGGATCACTTGAGACCAGGAGGTTGGGACCAGACTGGGCAACATAGTGATCTCTACAGAAAAATTTTGAAAATTAGCCAGGCATGGTGGTGTGCCCGTGGAGTCCTTGCTAATAGGACGCTGAGGCTGGAGGATCATGAGTCCAGGAGGTCAAGACTGCAGTGAGCTATGATTGCACCACTGCATTCCAACCTGGGCAACAGAGAGGCCTGGCGTCAACAAAACAAAACAAAAACATGAGAGAAGGTAATAGCGAGACATGGGGTCAGCAGGATCTAAGAGAGTGCTAGTGTCTTCACAGAAAAAGGGTGGGCAGGCCCAGGTTACAGGCTCACGCCTGTAACCCCAGCACTTTGGGAGGCCGAGGCAGGCAGATTACCTGAGGTCAGGAGTTCGAGACCAGCCTGGCCAACATGGTTTCTACTAAAAACAGAAAAAGTAGCTGGGCGTGGTGGCCCGTGCCAGTAGTCCCAGCTACTCGGGAGGCTGAGGCAAGAGAACCTGGGAGTGAGCCGAGATCGCGCCACTGAACCCAAGCCTGGGTGACAGAGTGAGACATCGTCTCAAAACAAACCAACCAACCACAGAAAGTGGAAGGCAGGAGGATACCTTTCGTCTTTCGTGTTGGGTGGGGGGAAATATTCCAGCGGGTGAGGTGGGAACTGAGACCAGGCAAAGCAGCCCAATCCACCCTCTTTCTGTTGCACCCTGCAAACGCCCTGAAAGCAGCTGAGGACAGAGTTCTCCAAGAAGGAACCGAAGGTCAAGATGATGCCGAGACTGCCTCACACCCGCAGGCTTGCTGGGACGCAGGCAGTCCGAGCCCCCGCCCGTTCCCTTCTCGGGCTGGGGCGCTGGGTGGAACACTGGAGTAGGAAGGCGGACTCCAGGCGCCCGGAACTCAGGTGCGGTCGGGGGACAGGCCGGCCTCCGCCCGCCCAGCCCAGCCCGCCCCCCGCCCCCCGCCCCCCGCCCGCGTCCCCAGGGCCTCACCACGCTGGCCCAGCTCGGCGGCCGCCACGTGCTCGGTGAGCACTGTCCCAAATCGCCGCAGCCGAGTCACGATCCGCTCATATAGCGCCCGGTCCTCGCGTCCGCCGCGGATGCTCCCGCAGAAGTACAGTGCCGGGCGGCCGGGCTCCCCCAGCTCCCCGCGTTCGCCGCTCCCCCGCGCCCCGGCAGCAGCCATTCCCCAGCCGCCCGCACTCTCCCGCGCCAGGGGGCGCCAGCCCGCGGCCACGTGACCCCGCCCCGCCCGGCGCAGAACGGGGCTGCTGAGTCCACCCACACCTGTGGAATGGGACGGCGAACCGGGAAGATCCAGCCGGGACCCTCTCGGGAACGCACCCCTCCCGGACTTGACGTTCGGTTGCCTAACACGCACCTTAAATTGACCTTGTCCAGGCAGAACTCTAGGGCTTCCCCTCCTCACCCGCTTCTAACCCCTCCTCCCCGCCCGCCGTCTTTCCCAGCTGCATCCTCCCAGCTGCTCAGACCCAAGACCTCGGAGTCACGTGGATCGTTCCCCTTCTCTCAAACTCTGCGTCTCATTCATTGGCAACTCGTGTGGATTCCTCCTTCCAAATCTGACAACCACCTGCAGGACCACTACCCTGCTCTAAGCCTCCTCCCAGCTCTCCACAGCCTCTTAACACGTCTCTCTCGTCGTGATGTTGTACCCCAGCGAGTCAAGAAATTGCGCCATTCTCTGAGATTAAATTATGAGTACTTTATTAAGCCGACGACCGAGAGGTGGCTAATGCCCAAAATTCTCTCGGCACCTAGGAAAAAGTTAGGTAGTCTTTTATACCCTAGTTTTAAAAGGGAGGGGGAACCTAGCTGAAGCAATTATTTCACAGAAGCAGAGTAAGCACAAAGTTAAAAGATAAACTGATACATGAGAAATAAAACAGTGCCAGGTGCGAGGGGTAAAGTTGTCACGAAAGACATACAACTTATAGATAATGGGAGCTCTGGGTGCTCGCTGCACCTGCATTCCCAGGCTCTGCTGGTACCGCTTAACTCGGCCTCTTACCAACAAATGCATTCTTGGGTGCCCAGTGTCAGCCTGCCCCAGCTACATACTATAGTTACATGCTTAACGGTGAGAGAATAACTAAAATGAAGAAGCTAAGATGGAGTCTGTCCGGCTTAACAGAAGGCCTGAACAGCTTTTAGTTTGAGAAAGAGAGTTTTAGCTGGCAAAAAGCAGGTTATCACAGTGAGCTGTCCAAAGTCAGACAGAACCAGGTCCACGCACTTTGCATCTGCCCACAAGGTCGGATTTTTACTGATGCTATTTGAATCACGAAAGCTAGCGACTACGTGGAGTTCCCAAGAAGCCAGTTCTCCTTAGGAGCCCCATACCCGTTCACTCAGGGTAGTCTGAGCCATGAGCACGCAGGCTAGAGCCACTCACAGGTCAGACTGTATTGCAAACTATACGTAGTAGTATATGTAAGGATATACATATCACAGGTTAAAATTTCACATCAAACCCAGGAACATTTAACATCAAGAGAAAAGGGATTAACTAACCAGTCCAAGAGGAGTGATGTGGACAGAGTCCTGGCCTGACTGGGATGGTTGTCAAGGGCTTGCAAGGAAGAGTCCTTGATCCGGGCAGGGCCTTCGGAGGCAGATGCCAGGTGCTGGTCACCAGTGACAGCAAGACTCGGTCTGTTAAGGTGGCCGTGTCTAGCTAATGTCCGGCTCATTTGATGGCCCTCCAGTCCTCCAGTGAGGACTTGTAGTAAAGGGTGATGCCCTCATCTGGTTGGGTGTTGTCTCTATTGGTTAGGTGAATGTCTGGACCCTGTTGGCTTGATGCCTTTTGAAAGGCAAGATGGAGTCTTTTTAAAATTAATAAATTGATGTATGTATTTAATATTTTTTGACAAGGTCTCTGTTGCCCATGCTGGAATGCAGAGAGAGGCATGATCATCACTCACTGCAGCCCCAAACTCAAGGCTCAAGGAATCCTCCCGCCTCAGCTTCCGGAGTAGCTAGCTCTACAGGCACTCGCCATTATGCCAAGCTAATTTAAAAAAAAAAAAAAAAAAAAAAGATCTGCTGTAGAGATGAGGTCTCCCTGTGTTTCCAGGGCTGGTCTGAAAACTCCTAGACCCAAGCAATTCCCCTTCCTCAGCCTACCAAAGTAAAGGGATTACGGGCATGAGCGAATGTGCCCCGTAATGGAGTCATTTTCTAAGATGGAATTACTTAGGTCAAAGGTTCTCAATGCATCTCCCTTCTTCCCTGCTACAGTCCGCTCTCCACTCAGCAGCTACAGTGATCTAGATCATGACGCTCCTCTGCTCAAAACCCTCCAATGGTTCCCGTCTCACTTGCAGTAAAAAAACGGAAAACCCCACAGTAGCTCACAAGGCTCCAGATGACCCTGTCATCCTCTTACCTCCCTAACTCCAGCTCCTATGACTTTCACTTCTCTGCCACCTCACTGGCTTCCTGGCTGCTCCTTAAGCACATCAGCCATGCCCTTGCCTCAGAGTCTCTGCATTTGCTGTTCCCTCTCTCGGGAACCCTGTTCTCCCAGGTAGCTTCCTGGCTCACTCCTTGTTTCCTTCAAGTCTTCGTTCCCACTTCACCTTCTCCGACCACCCTATCCAATGTGGCAGCCCTTCATCCCCCAGTACTCTCTATCAGCCTTCTCTACCTTGCATTTTCTCCTTCTCATGCACCATATAACTTATTAATTTTGTTGCATGTTTTTCTATACCCAGTAGAATATTGTTTACTGCTGTATTCCTGGTGTCTTTCTCTCTCTCTTTCCCCTCCCTCCTTTCCTTCCTTCCTTCCTTCCTTTCCTTTCTTTCTTCTTCTTTTTTTTTTTTTTTTTTTTTTTGACAGAGTCTTGCTCTGACACCTAGGCTGGAGTGCAATGGGGCAATCTCATTTCACTACAACCTCCACCTCCCGGGTTCAAGCGATTCCCCTGCCTCAACCTCCCTAGTAGCTGGGGCTACAGGCATGTGCCACCATACCCAGCTAATTTTTTGTACTTTAGTAGAGACGGGGCTTCACCATGTTGGCCAGAATGTTCTTGATCTCCTGACCTCGTGATCTGCCTGCCTTGGCTTCCTAAAGTGCTGGTACTACAGGCGTGAGCCACTGTGTCCAGCCTCCTCACTCTCTCTCTTTTTCTTTCTTTCTTTCTTTTTCTCTCTTTCCCTCCCTCCATCCTTCCCTCCATCCCTCCCTCCCTCCTTCCCTTCTGTGGGAAGTAGAAAAGTTCCTTCTTAAAGTTTCCTTTCTTGTTAACTAATAAGTGTACTAGTAGCTCTTTGTTAAGCCCTATCCTATGTAGCTGTTAGACATGCCTGCCATGCTTACAGGCACGTAGTACATTCTATGTCTTTGTACTTTAACCAAGATATCTGTGTTGGACATGCTCACAGGCATGTACCAGCTCTTCATTGCCTTTAGCTGTTTAGAAAAGTTTTAAGTTGTTAACCAATTGGGTTTTAGTTTAGATTGTGAGTTCTGGCTCCAGCTAACGGAGATCAGACACAGCAGTAAGGACAACTCCAAATTCGTAAAGGATAAATTTGTGCATTTTCCTTTGTTCATTGTACTCTCGTGGCACAATGGTTTGCGAGGGTACCCTTCCTGCAGTCCAGGAAGTAAAAATTGCATTGCTGAAAGATCCTTTGTCTCAGTGCTAATTTTTCTTTACAGCACCGAGCATCTATTTCCAACATCTATTTCCAGCACTTCCTTCCTTCCTTCTTCCCTTTCTTCCTTTTTCTTTCATTTTCTTTCTTGAGAGACAATGTCTTGCTCTGTTACTCAGGCTGGAGCGCAATGTCACGGTCACAGCTCACTGCAGCCCCAAACTCTTGGGCTTAAGCAATCCTCCCTCCTCATCCTCCCAAACAGCTGGGACTACAGGTGAGTGCCACCATGCCTAGCAAAGTTTTTGTAGAGATGGAGTCTCACTATGTTGCCCAGGCTTATCTTAAACTCCTGGGCTCAAGTGATCCTCCCACTTCAGCCTCCCAAATTACTGGGATTACAGTTGTGAGCCACTGTGCCCAGCCTAGTTTCTAGAACTACACCTGGCACATAAGAAACATTTATTAAATATTTGTTGAATGAATGAGTGGTTTAAATGAGAGGATGAATTTGACAGCACTTCGTAGTCTGCTCGGCCCTGTAGTGAGGAGGCCGACAGAGGTGGTATCTTCAGGGAGACAGGCAGGCACTCATTGCTCACCAGTACTGATTTCATCCTCATTCTGTTATGACAATCACAAATATATGAGAAAACATTCAGATGGAACAAGAGACTGTGTAGTGGAAAGCAAGTCCTGAGACCCCAACTCCGTTCCCCAGAAGAAAGCGCCATCCGTGTTTTCTTCTGTATTCTTCCTGAAAGATAACTATTAAAATACTGAAGTTTACAGGCCAGGTGCGGTGGCTCATACCTGTAATCCTAGCACTTTGGGAGGCTGAGGCGGGTGGATCACAAGGTAAGGAGTTGAAGACCAGCCTGGCCAACATAGTGAAAGCCTGTCTCTACTAAAAATAGAAAAATTAGCTGGGTGTGGTGGTACCTACCTGTAGTCCCAGCTACTTGGGAGGCTGAGGCAAGAGAATCGGTTGAACCCAGGAGGTGGAGGTTGCAGTGAGCCAAGATTGCGCCACTGCACTCCAGCCTGGGCAACAGAGTGAGACTGACTCAAAAAACAAAAATAGTGAAGTATGTGATTGCAGAGAAAATGCAACAATATGTATATTTTTAATGCTAAGATACAAAAGGAAGACAGAGATTTCAGAGTATTTCTGCCTACTTCTGGGCCCAGCTATGTATACACGGACCATGGGGCAAACATGAAGACACAGCTGTGCACCTGTGACCCCCCAAGGGGTGCCCCCCTCCCCACACGCACACTCACACACATGCACACACACATGCACACACAGATTAGGAAGGAGGCCTTATGTGCCAGTGGACTTGACAGGTAACCTCCCTAGCACTCCTTATCCCCACTCACACCTTCCCTCCTGTTCCCCCCAGAGACAGGGAACACACATGCACACACACACACACACACACACACACACACCACATTTTGTTTCTGCCTCTGTATCTTAAATAAACAAACACATAAACCAGCCAGCCCCCATCTCTTCAGGGGCCACACCTCTGCTCTGGCTGGTGTCTCTTTTCTACCTCAGGCTGAAAGGATGTTTTGAG